CTACAGTAACTGGGCTGCATCTAGCTCCAGACGTCCTTTCATAACACTTCTTCTATCGCTACCTACACCACCTAGTGCCTTTCCTAATACATCCACGTATCCATAGAGGTTAGTAGACATGGTCAATGAGGCGGGTCGTACCTGTATCTGAATGATATCTGTTGCTAGTTCGACGGTGTCCCAGCCCGGTGGGGCCTCGAATTCCTTCAAGTATTCGTCCTGTTGAGTGAGGCGTTTCCTAATAACGATGTTGTCTCTTATGTCCATTCCCGTCTTCCTAAAATCTGCCGTCAGTGTCACCTCGTAATTTACATCAAACAATGAACCCTTCACCGATTGCTGCAAAGGGGCCCGCACAGAAAATGGAAGACCTTATTGATCCGCTTGCATTGAAGCAGCGGCAGAGACTTGGGAATGATAGCGTGTGCACGCATATTTAAGATTATGTGCAAGCCGCGCCAGTTCCAGTTCGCTATGCCGAACCTTTCGTGCAGCAGAGTTGAGCAAACGACACATGCACGTGGAGTCAGCGACGCACAGTACCTATGGAACCGGCTGGCCAGACACCTCCCCTGAGCTGTTAAGAGACATTGCTGATGAGATATGTGAGGAGCCCCACTTGTATGCCTCTTCACGTACCTGCAGGTCAAATGGGATTTCCACTTCTGCTCGCATGGCATTTTCCCCCTTGAGAAAATACCCAGGGGGGATGTAGGAGACTTGCTGATAAACCATCCGGTTACGAACAACGTACGGCCTCAGACCAGGAGCCCTGAGGGTCTGCTCACATAGACATGAACGTGCGTGCAACTGCCTACTGATAAGATGACATAAAACCCGGTCGCAATAGGCGTGTGTGCCGGGTTACCACCACCCGCTGACTGCAATAAAAAATACTCAAAGAAAGGCCAGACAGAGGACTTGTGTGTAGATGCTGGGGTTCTGAACTTCCTCATACATTCAAACTACAGCAGATATGCCCACATAGGAATATGAGGTAGGATATCAACTAGACAGCTTCTCCAAGACCGGCGGCTAATCAAGAGAAAACAGCATGCTGGTCTGAACCCGCCATGCGAGCAGACAGGAAGTCGCTTACCGTGACACGCCAGAGACCTAGGACCACTTCAGTTAGAGAGTAATTTGAAGGGTTTTCCATTTCCAGAAACACCTCCAGCACTGCGCCAAGCACATAAACGTAGACGCAAACATTCAGGGCCTTGTGACAGGGTGGGAGGCCCTGGAGGGCATTAATGAATTGGCCAACCTGCAGCGCCATGCACGTCATGGAGAAAGCTGTGCACATACATCGAAACGCTTCGAAGCCTGAAAACAGCATAAGAAGGAGTTAAATCCTTATACAGAGGCTGGTGCAAAGGCTGAGGTGCTGTGTATGAGCCCACAGCCGCCGTCTTGATAGAGCGAGGTGGTTAAGCCAACCCCAACGACAACGAGGTGAGGTTTAAGACAAGGCAGAAACCGCCTTGACCGAATCGTCTGCTCCACCATGTGCGGTGGGGCCTTCTGCTGGAGAGGCTCCACCACAAACTGACAGCCAATGGCAAACACACAGCGTATGCCTCTCTCACCGAGCAGCCGCAAATCCCACGTTGTGTTATCTCCCCTCTGGCCCATGGGTATCGCCGCGCGTTTGTAGGCTGCACTATGTAGGGACGCTGCCACCAGTAGCAGCAGGAAGAAAGAGTGCTAGGGAGACTCAGCTCTATGAACTCCTTTAAAGGCCTCTTCGAGAGGCAAGGATCCTCTGCCTTACTATCTCAAGCAGGTCTCCGAGCTTTAGGGGAAATCGTTTGATGCCGTCGCCGGTCTGGGGGGAGGCAGTGGGGATTGCAGAGGCAACAGCTGCAACGGAATCGTTGGCATCGTTGTTCGTTGCTGACACCCCATCTCGGGTACCACCACTGGCCATTTTATTGGCAGAGTCAACTTTGATTGCTGCTTCGTTGATGCCTGTAGCAGATTCTCGGGCAGAAATGGGAGCGGCAGAGGCCGGACTGGGGGGCACTGCTATGGTAAATGAATGCACATCCTTCACACAAATAAGGCAGTCTTCGAAGTCAGCTCGTATCAGATACTTGACTTCCGCATTATACCTGATACAAGCAACTCACAGGAGCAGCTGCAAGTTCCGCTAAGCCTCAGAGACTGACTTAAGGTACCTGGAGCAGCCACATAATAAGAGTGCGTCCGTTGCCTTCTCTAATCCCTGCCTATGAGTGTAGACAACACAGTTGGAGCGGAGGACAAGAAGGAAGCAGCTGTGTGTATGAAGTTTTTTGCTTTTTTCTGCCCGCGAGCACCCGAGGCCTAGGAATGATATGAGAGCAGAGGCATAGGATAGGGATGGAAGGGGGGAGGGAGGGAATCCACGCAGCTCACTCGCCAGCCTCATCTTTGCTGACGTCCGCTCCGGCTACTGACACGGAGCCTGGGATGCCTAAAGGCAGAACGAAAATAAAGGGGAAGCGGTAATGGCCAGGGGACAGGCGGCCGTCTGGTGGTTCGTAGAGAGTCGCTTTTGAACGAAAGATCTCCTTCCGTTCCTTTGCCTCTACACTCTTCGGCGGAGATCCATTTTCACAGAGCTGCCTGAACACCAGAACGTACCAAAGCGCAAGCATGCGCATTCTTACGGAAAGATGCATCACGGAAAGATGGGAAAGGAAACTGGATGCGACACTTCAAAAGGGGATTGCAGCGTCATTTCGTCACTGATTATCCCATAGCACGAAAAAAGCCGAGTACACAATATACGGCAGCTTTTCTACTGCTGAGAACGATAGGACGTAATAGGGACTGCAGACGCCGCTAGGAGAAAGTGCGCCCATGTTAAGGGGGAGGAAGAGAGCTACCTGCGGGGAGGGCTCTTGAATGTGATGGCCTCAATCCCCGAGACGTCCAGCGTGAGTCTGGAAAATTCGATCTCAGAGAGCACATTCACGAAGACTTCACCAGACACATGCTGACCTATAGGAAGACGCAGCATCAGCCCTAAGACACACACGATTCACCTGGACTCATGCAAAAACACGGGGGTGTTGAAAAGTGAACAATTTGCCAACTTATCCAACGCTGCAATACGAAGATAAGCTACAGTAGCCACCCACAAGCGCGGACCGGAGATGAGATGAAGAAACCAAGAGAGGTACAGTGTATCAGAGAGACAAAAAGAGGTGGGGCAGATGGAAACTGGCGTGTCCTCTGAGTTCAGTTTCGGAAAAAGCATTCTATGTGCTGTGAGGATTCGTATGGGGAAATCGCGTTCCCTATTCATACGCCAAAGCCTTTAGGCAGAGGAGACTCTAAAAAAATACGCATTATAATGATTGCGCCTGTTCCCAGCGCTGGTGAGTGGCGGCAACAAAGGGCTTTTGCGCATAAGGGAAGGCAGAGACGAGCTGTATGACTAACGTCTTCCCTCGCTATCCGTTCACTGCCGCGAATTGACCAGCATATTCCCGTCTGTTTTGCTCTGCTGTCAATCCTGGTAGTCGGTGAAAGCGACCACTAGAGTGAGTGTTGGCTAAAGGCCTGCGCGCGGCTCCATGTGTTTTGTGAACAGCAACAGAAGCAGCAGTAGCCCGCTTCGACACCCGTGAATTTCCTTTCTCGATGCTGCGTGGATGTCTCACCGACTTCGTACTGCGCTTGGGTTACAAAAATTTTGGCGCCGGTGACTTTGGAGAACTCGAGCCCCATCTCAGGTTTACCTGAGCGGGAAACCACAGGCAGATGGGAAAAAGTACAAGTAGCCGAGGCTGGAACGCCGTACACGAAAAGACGCACTATGAGCACAGGTCTTTACCACGAGCAACCGTACCCTTGGGGTTTTGTCGTGCATGTGGCTACTGGTGTCACTGGGGTCGTCTTTATTGACGGACCAATGAACTGCAGGCTCAAGTCGCGTCCGCCATGCGGGTGGCCCCCTGAGGGTAGGAGCGTAATCAGCGACTGAGGGCGATGTGTTCAATCGGAAGAGCCTCGAGTGCTTCCAGAGGTCTCACGAAGGCCCTTATTTTCGCGTATGTAATAGGAAGGACCGCCGCGGACTGGCGCAAGGCTGCAGCACGCCCAAGGCTGGATAAGTCTACTACACCTTAGACGAGTGCAAGCAGCGGCACACGCCCTTTCTAAATGTATATTTTGTCGGATAATCACGAACTAATGATGAGTGAATGACCGATACCCCACAGTCTTCTCGGCAAACAGCTGAGAACCGCAATCAAGCAGCTGGATCGGCTCGTGGCAGCTCTCGTTATGGCCCACAGCGCAGGGGCCATGTGTTCTCTGCACTGGCTAAATGAGCTTACTCCAGGGTGCATAAAGACAATAACGAAGGCCAGGCGAGCTGCATGCACGCGAAGTCGCGACATCTCCATGTCAGTGCCGCTGCACACCACCACCAGCGCCTTTCCCGTGCCAACAGCTGCCCTTTGCCCGTCCTTTCATTGCGTGGCTTAGTGCCTGCAGCCACTGTGGGTATTCATTCCCTCTGTAGCCTCATAAGAAAAATCTGTATTGCGTCTTGTCGAACTCCCAGGCTCTCCTGCCCGCTGCCGACGCGGCAATGCGGAAGGCGGAGCGCTTCGAAGACTCGGGCAGAAAAACTGGAATCCTTGGCGACCCAAACAGCCGCCTCTGGTGTACATTTGTGAATATTATTGTGTATTAACACACGAAGGAGTAGTAAACTCCCTAGGAAGGCAGCCTCTTGGCACTTGGCCGGTGGTCTGTGCAGCGTTCTGGTATTACATATTGACGAAGGCAGTATCGGAGGCGGCCCCAGAACGCAGTTCGCTTGGCACTACAGGGATTGGTATTCTTTCAACCACACGTTGATCTTAAAGTCTTCACGGTGAGAGTGGAGTGCTGTCAACGACAGAAGCATCAAAGCATCGGCCAAAGGGCTACAAGCAACAACACAAGTAACAGCTGCATGGAATTTCGGGGCCGCAACTACTGCGGCCTAAGTGAATGCAATGCAGGATCATGAACAGACTTCGCATGCCGCTGCTGAGGCCTTCTTGGCTGGGGCAGACCTTGACGACTTCCTCTTTGTCTTGCTTGACTCTCTGCATCCCTCATTCCCAGGCGACACAGCAGCGGTATCAGCTGCAGGTGTTGCACCTTCCGAACTCACTGAAGATGCAGGCGCTACTGGTCAATGCCACACCCAAGCGTCTGCCTCTGAAGGGCCTCCGCTTCTTGCGGTCCTCCGGGAGAGCTGGAGGCCTGCAAAGCTTCTGTATGACATACTGGAGCCTCCGGATGGCGAAGCAGCCACAGCAGTAGCCAAAGCGGAAAGTGAACACCAGCAGCAACAGAAAGGGGAAGTGGAGGACCTCGCGTTGCGCAACCTCGAGGTTGAACTAAGCTGTCCAGTCGCATGGGGGGTCTCTGCAGAGTTTCTTGCGGAAAAGCCCGTATACGCCTCGTGTCTTTCTGCGGGTGCCTCTCTTCTTTCATATGCCGAATCGGAGCCTGAGAGAGTTCTTCTAGCCATCAAGGCCTTTCTAGAGGTCCACCCAGCGGCGAAGGATCACCAAGTTGCGCTGCTCCTGCTGCTGCGGCTCCTTGTATTTCGGTGGGCTCTCTATCATCATCTGAAGCTGCACAAACGAGTGGAGTACAGTCTAAAACGTCCCTCTGTGGACGCTGGGGAGACTCCGGGCCTTTTCGATTACGCAGACGCCGCCAGCAACGCCTCAGAAAAGCCCGTCACAGGTACCGCAACAAGCGACCTCGCGACACCTGTCGCAGGTTGTCTGAGTGCAATCATTGCCTTCGCTATTCAAGAGGCTTCTGCGCTTGCGGACGGAGATGAGCGGAAGGAGCTCCTGGTAGAGGTATTACAAATATTGGCTTGCTGCGTGCCGCATATTGTTATCTCCAAGCTTCTGAAGGCGGTCAAAAAGGCAGGTACGGCTGGCCTGTAACCTGTCCAGTAGCATAAGCAGCAATCACCGTACATGCATATCGATTGAAGACTTCGTTCGTTTTCCAAGGATCGGCTGTAATTAGCGGTTTTGCATTTCTGGCTGTAGGGCAAAGGGGGCCATTGCATGTGCTGCTGTTTGCCTCTTTGGTGCGGCTTGTCGCGCAGTTTTGCCATCTTCTGGTGGTCCGAACATGACCGCGCATGACACTACAACTGCCGGTGCTGTCTGCAACTCCTCGCTGATCTTGCTGGAGAAGATTTTATTTTCGTCAGGCTGGCCTGCCATTTCCGTTTCGCTCACAAAGCAAGTGTTTGTAGTATTGCTGCAGGCAGTGTTGCTGCCGCTGCAGCCGGAGGAACCTGCCTTAGCACTGCAGCAGCAACAGAAAAGCCTTTCTCTCCCCATCCGATGGAGCATCTCTCTCCGGGCAGCGGAAGCTCTCAGCGCCTTTGCTTCGGTTGCAGCAATTGGGAACTGCCGCTCACTGCTGATGACCCTTGAGCCGCAGCGGCAAGACACAAAAAGCGACAACGAGCCAAAGGCTGTGGAGTTGCAAAGCGCTCAGGAGGATGGTCTTGCAGCAGCAGCAACTGCTGCAGCGGAGGCAGCTCGAAGAGAGGGCACAAGGCCACCCGGTGGAGAAGGGGGCTGCGGTATTGAATACCTTCCTTTGATGGCAGCAGCAGCGGAAAGACTTGCATACATCTTACTGCCGCGCATGCTGCTCGCTAGGGCTCCCTCCGGCGTCGTTACTGCGCTTCTACGGGCGGCTACTATGCTGCTCCTGCTGCCTATACACCTCAGCACTCCTCTAATGCTCAGGAGCCGGGAGGATGAGCAATCAGGAATGGTGCGGCATGACCCGGTGCTGCTCCTGCTGCAGTTGCTCCTCCTGCATATTAGCAGTGAGATCTCTGGCATTCCTGCCGCTGATCTTTTGCAGGACGACCCGCATAGGAGCTATACTGCAGCACCAGCAAGCGTTCAGGACCAACACACGGCCCTAAAGAAGCAGCAGCAGCAACTGCTAGAGCAGGGGGGGCTGGAAACAGCGGCTGCCGCTGCCGCGGCTGCCGCAGGTTCCCCAGCGACAGACGAGGGAGATGTGCATCAGGGCGCTGCAGCGTACAGGCAGCGTCTGCTACTGCATGAGAAGACCGTCGCCACACAACAATTGGAGGAAACTGTGTATAGGGGCGATAACCACACCGGCAGTGTCAACAATAGCGATACTGGTTTTGGAGATGGCGTCAAGCTGGAAGGACCCCGAGCAGCTGCCTTCTTTACGCATGTTGCCACCTCTCTCTCGCATCTTGCTGAAGTGCTCTCTGAGGGAGAGTATCACTGGAGAATAGCGCAGCGTGCGGCCGAGATGCAAACCGTCCTGCTCTTACTGCTGCTGCACACGAGCAGACGCTGCCTGACACCCAGAGATCCTCTTCGAGACAGTCTCGCAGACGAAACTCTTAAGACGCTCGTACTCCCGTGAGCCCTGCACAACCCTTTCCTCTCCAGAGAGCAGCAGAACGCATGGCGCTGCTGCTATCTCTGCCGCTGCATACACAGGACAGTAGCAAACCATACTGCAGCAGCGGTTGCCGTGACAACTTCGAGTCTCGCTTACCGGAGGTTCCCAGAGCCACAGCGTATGGAGACGTCCCCTGTGATAGGCATACACACTGGCCTCCACGTGATGCCTTGTGCTTCTGCATTTGCAGGATCGTGGCTGCCGCAGTATCCTCCCTCAGCGCCGTGCAGATGCAGCACGACGCGAAGACATCGGAGCTTCCTGCAGCAGCAAACGGGCGGAATGCTCTGATGCAGCCATGCCATCCGGCGCTGGCACGGCTTACCGCCGTGTCGGCCATTGCTGCTCCGCCTCCTGCTGCTGCAGCCGTTGCTGCTGCCTGCTGGAGTGGCGCTAAGGCCCCTCCGTACCTGCAAGAAGTAGGTTGGGTGGTTCACGCAGTAAACAAGGCGGCATCAACAGGGGACCCCATGCACGGGCTGCATGCAAGCGTGTGTTGGTGCTTTCCGTCCTCCAGCCCTGTTGACAGCCTTATGAAGAGCTCTTCAGGAACTCTCGCCGACAAATTTTCCAACATGCAGCTAATGCTGCGAGCTGCACGGCAGCAGGCACAGCCGCTAACAGATGCAGACACTGTGCGCTTTGTGACGGATGGCATTGCTCGCCTCCTAGGTTCCCCGGTTCGCTGCAGGGGAGGCCTGGCTATGGCTGCCCTTCATGCTACCACAGATGCCTTGGCTGCTGCAGGCTCAGCCTTGCACAGATTGAGGGTGCAGAGGATCGAGCCACAACAGCAGCAGCAGCTGATGGCTATTCAGTGTGCTGCGCTTGTTTTCATCGGTCGCACTGCTGGTAAGGCAGCCATCGTTGCTGATCGTGTTTCCTGCTTCCGAGGTTCCTGCAGAGACTGCGGCAGGCTGCGACACCAAACTAACAAGGTTGGAGGTGCTGTGTTCTCGAGTAAGCCTTTCTACAATGCTGCTGAGTTGGAAGGGTTCTGCTGCTGAGCTTTGTGCACAGAGACACAGCGGATCGACTGCCCGCCGCCCCAGCTCGCGCTGTCTCCTTGGCAGCTCCCCAGTAGGCCTTGCCACTGCGTTCCTCAAGGGGAACCCGTTGTGTCTCTGCGGCTGCCTCAATCCGGAGAGGTGCAGCAGCAGCGAGAGTCTGTGGATAGTCAGCTAGAGGACGCGCAGTATCAGGTTGCGGAGAGAAGGCGCATGCGATGCGAGACAGCCGCGCGGCTTGTGACGTCCATCTTTACTCTGGCCAACAGGAGATGCCTGTCTCCTGCACAAGCCGCGGCTCTCCTCTCGGTTTGCCGATCCCTTGCAGAATCCCGTCTGCTGCAGGCTGCAGCTTTGTTCCTGGCTGTGGAGGCTGAAGAGCAGCAGCCCGCGCCGAGACCGTCTGAGTCTGCCTCAACTTCTCAGCAGCAGCAGCAGGAAACAAACGGTTCCAGCAGTGCCCTTAGCACCGACACCGAGGTACAGGCGCACATAGATTTTAAATTGCCCTTACTGCGTCCGGCGGAAGCGGCATTAGGCTGGAGCACCGTGCGGCTTATAGAGCCCAACGATAGCAGCAGCACATCCGACGAGGAGCTATTCCCCACTAGACGCCTTCCTTCACTTAGACGGAGGAGGCAGATGATCAAGCGGGATGCGCCCTCAGTTCCGCCGACGAGCAATCCTTTAGGCCTTAATGCTTCTGAAGTTGACTCTACAAGTTTCAGCACTGGAGGCACAGGAAGCGGGACGGCAGCTGAAGAAAAACAACGAGCAGCTACGCTGCAACAGATGCCGAGGGCAACAACAGCAGCGGCTACGGGGGGTGCTGCCTGGACAGAGCATCCTCCTGTCGCAGTGTGTGGCATTTTCATGTTTGTTCTACGGCTCTTGTGTATTGCACCCGCTGATGGAGAAGGCGACGCTGCAGCTGACTTCACACACTGGACTATGCGAGAAACACTGCAGCTGGAGGTCAAGCCAACTGAACTCCCGCGGGCAGCATCACCAGCTGCCATTCTGAGGGATGCCGCCACGCATGTGCTCTTTGACGCTTTTGCCTGCAAAACCCCGGGTACCTGAGTCTCCCTCTCTCTCCCCGCGTTTGCTCTCTTCTTCTTTTTTGCGGTGCTTTTGGCTTTAGACCAAGTGATCGACTGCTGACCACGGCGATGCTGCTACCACTGCGCTGCCGCTGCAGATCTGCTATTCCCAGTTTTGCTGGAGTGCTTGAGCGCCGGGTTAGTGTTGCGTCCTGCAATGCCGGCTGTGTGCTCGTGCCTTGCCCTCCTGGTGGAGCAGTCCGAAGAGAGATCCTTCCGATCTTTCCTCGCAGCAGCACACGGCAGTGCGGCTCCTTCGGAAATATATCACCACTGCCACCGCGACAGCCGTTCTTCTGCCACTTTCCCTTTTCACGTGTCTCCGGCAGTCCCGCAGTCGCAAGCAGGAGCTCTGTGTCAGCTGCTGCTGCACGCTGCAGATATACACTCGGAGGGGGGGGCCCTCGCAATTGCTGCCCTAAACGCCATTTCTAAGCTGATTCGTAGCGTGCTACCCTCTAATATGATGCAGCAGCAGCAGGACGCCTTTGTTTCGGAGGGCTCCATGCTGAATGTGCCTTTGGCTTCATCGGCGTCGCAGCAGCAGCAACACCCGCACCAGGACGAGCAACAGCCAAACGACCAGCAGAAGTCACGACTCTCGAAGATGGAGACCTCTCTGGAGCCCAGCTATGCAGACAAAGCTGAGCTTTTTGTGAGCTTCCTTGTAAAAAGCCTGAAAGAGCATGCGGACGGCGCTTTTACCCTGTTCAGTGAAGGCTGGGTGGGGGCCCTGTGCGAGCTGCTCCTGCTGCTGCACCGAGGTTTGCTGTCCGTCTATGGCGGCAGCGAAACGCAGCAGCTCTTTGTTTCATGTTGCCTACTGCGCAGCTTTGCTGCCGCAGCAGCAGCAGTGCAAAAGGAGGCTGAAATAACGGGGAATGGAGATCTGCAGGTCCACAGCAGAGCATCCACCTCCCTAAGTCTGGTAATGCAGGATGCTTCCAGGATATCGACTGCGGCAACTGCGCCAGCAGCAGCACGCTCAGCGTTGCAACAGCAGCAGCAGCAGCGTGCCCTTGCAGCGCTGCAGTTCTTGGGGGTTCTCGCCCGCTCCTTTCCTTCCCTGTCTGTGCAGAAGAATTTAGTGCGTGTGCTTTTGGGCTGTGGTAGCGCAGCCGCAGAGGCTCAGGTGGACGGCCTCTCGGAAGAGGCAGAGGGGCCCCCCGCGCTGTGGCTTCTCCTTTCGAGTACGTCGGAGGCATCAGTTCGTGGCGTTCGGGCAGGTCCAGGCATCATCGAGAGTCTCCTGATGCTGTCGAAGGCACCAGGGGAGCGTGAGAGGCTGGCGGATCTGCCGGGAGGGAGCAGCAGCTCCTCTGTTGAGGGGGACTGGCCAGAAGGCGTGGAGGCTGTCTCTGGAAGCGCGCAGTTGCCTGCAGCGGCTGCCGCTGTGGTAACGGGTGTCTCCTCGTGGGGATCTTTCGCGGGCATGGAGGCGCCGAAAGGGCGGAGAAGAAAGCGGTTTGCTGCCTCAGCGGAAGCAGCAGCAGCAAATGCAGCATCAGCGCGTTACTGCCAAGCGGAGCGACTACGGCGAGTTGTCAGCTGGCTGGGCAGCAGCAGCGGAGCTTTCTGGCTTCAGGATTCGATTCAGCCTCTGACGATGTTCGCGGCGGATGGGAGAGCCTCGCTTAGACCCTTGCCGAAAGAGGGCGCAAGTGTTTTTCTCTTACAGGAGCAGAGGGCCACTGCACGGGCTGTTGCTCTTGCTGCTGGCAGCAGCACCAGCAACTTCGCATCGGCTTTGAGTCTGCTGCAGTCGCTTGGAACGCCACCCATGCAACGCAGACCTTTCAGCGGATTTCCTTTCTTTGGCAGCAGCGGCAGCAAACAGCAGGCAGAAGGGGGGCGGGTGCTGTTGCTACTGTGTCGCACTGCTCTGGCTGCCTCACCTCCCCCGGAGCTCTTTGATTTTTCACTCCCTTGTCTCTTGTCTGCTACTGCCGCAGCGGCAGCAGCGGCAGATGCTCTTTCCAGCAACAGTGAAGTCACAGCTTTGCTCGCAGCGGCAGCCGCTGCTGCGCCTGCTACTGGCAGCGCCAGGCCGCTAGGAACGTGGCTCTTCGGAGGAAGTTCAGGTAGCCTTGCTGCCTCCTACGGAGGGCTCATGCAACAAGCAAAAGATTCGATGCTGGGAGTCTTTTATAATGAGGCAGATGCCGTCCAGTTGATAGAAAAGACAGAGGCCTTTCTGGCAGCAGCAGAGGCAACGACCTCTGCTGCTGCAACTCACCAAAAACCATGCGCCTTCTTCCTCTTTGTTTCCTTGATGCTCTCTCTAGTTCTTGCGCTTCAAAAGGAGACGGATCGAGCTCTCGCTCTCACCCTAGCCGCAGCTCTTCACTCCATGGGTAAGCGGTGCAAGATGGCGGCACTAGACCTGCAGCAGAAGCTGCAGCAGCAGCTGCTCCTGCGCCTTCCTCCCCATGGCAAGGCTGCGGGAAAAGGCGGCATTGCGCTTGGTTCGACGTCTGCTGGCCTCGGCAGCAGGTCTACTAAAGGCGCACGCGCGGCGCATGCAAAAGAAGCACCGTTGCGGCAAAAGTACCATTCAGCTGAGGATCACTCGCGGCGGGATATCAGCATGCGGGCAGCATCCGTGTATGATTCGCCTGCTTTATTGATGCTCAGCACGCAGTGGGTAGAGGCACATTGCGGAATATCTCTCAGGTGCAGCAGCAGGGTCGTGGAGGCAGCGGAGGAAACTGTTGCAAGTGCTGGAGCCGCTGCTCAGAGTAGCGGCTCCAAGAGCTTGAGTTCGGAGTATCCGCATCGCGGTGGTACACGGTGGGGTGTCGAGGGGCAAGCCGAGCTGCTGCAGGGACCCCCATTACTGCCACGTATTTTTAGAGAGAATCTAGACGGCACCAGCAGCAGTCGCAAAGATGGGGGAGACGTGGATGCGAGCACCAGCCAAGAGGAGCTTCTGCAAGCAGCTGCAGTCATAGGCAGCGCAATAGGACGGGGTGTCGAGCTAGCGATCTGTGCTCTGCTGCCATACTGCCTGCACTGCCGAAGCCTTACAGCGATGCCTGTCAGCTCTCTTAAGGCCACGTCGGCACAACTCAAGGAGGCAGCAAGTGCTTGGGAGACAGGGGCATCGCTAATACTACCGGGTACCTTCTAATTGGCTGCGCTGGGTTGCTGACATGAATACGATTATCGTCAAAAAGCGTCTTCAAGCTCCTGAAACATTCGCCAACACGGAAGCAGGGTAACACAGCGCCTAATATGTGACTGCCCCTGTGTTTGTGTCTGTCAACGAGCCGTCCACAGGTCCTCTGTCTGCCGTGGAAGCCGCTTTGGGCCTTACCAACGGCAGTCGTGCTGCAGTTATAGGCAGTCTTCCAACTGGGGAGTCTAAGCTGCGACCCCTCTCAGTTGCTGCATTCAACTGCATTGCAGAGATGCTGCCGGTACGGCTGCAGACGTCGGACCGACACAGGGAACAACACGACCTGCTGCTCCAACTGGAGAGGGTTTCTGGCGAAGAGCTACAAATCCATAAAGGCTTGTGCTGCATGGTATTGGTGGCCAGTCTTCATGTCCTTCGAAACCAGGTAAGAGCCTTCTCCCGAGCAAACGAGCTACCAGCAGCAGCAACAGCATCCGCAGCACCCTCTGTAGTGCGGATAAGGGCCTTAGCCAATGGATGGCTGGGTGTGCAAGGAAATGCAGCGAAAAACGACGAGCACTTGTGTCTCGCTGCTGCGTTGCGGTTCCTGCCAGGTCCCCGCAGCTACAACAGCATACGCGCGAACGGTCTATGTAAGAGCTATCTCTGCAGCACAAACTTTGGCACGAGCACCTACAAGGAGACATTTCTACTCTCTGCCTTCGGGATTTTCGGGGAACCTAGAGGCCTCCAGCGAGTCTCAGGAACGCAAAGCGTCTGATGCTTCTGGCAGCTTCCTCGGGGAACGCACAAAGCAGCTGCCGCATCACCGAGGAGAGGGTCAGCAGCAGCAGACTTCTGGAGTGAGCGCCGCAGCGCTTGCAGCGGGAGACAGCCAGGAGCCTTTGGAGTCTCTCCGGAGTCTGAGGGTGTCGTCCTTCCCCGGCTCCTCCTCAGCGGGAACGGGAGCCAGAACAGACGTGCAGCAGCTGCTTGTCGATACAAAAAATGCGGTGCAAGACGGACTAGTGCTGGAGCTCTGCCTCGATACACTTAGTGCCGCCGATAAAGAGTTTGAAGCCCTAGCAACATCGGCCACAGAAGCTTTGCTCGCACTCTCGCGACATTCCAGTTCTTGGCAGACGACTGCCCTCTTGCTTCAGGTAACTGTGCTCACCCCACACGCTGGACGGCGTAGGTGCCGCCCTCCTACCTCGGTTCAAGAGTTGAAGGCCCCAATGAGCTACGACTGCCTCTCCATGCGATCTGCCCTCTCGCATTAGGACTAGCCCCTTGGCAGCAGAGACTCCCTCGCATGCCGCATGTGTTGTTGTTGTTGCTGCCGCTTCAATTCGTGCAGGCGCTTTTGTTTAAACTGTGCAACAGCAGTATTCCCTTTGTCCGGTGGCGAGGCCTTAGAGCAGTGCAGCTTATTGTCTCTGCTGCACTGCCTCTCCTTGACGAGCCTTCCGAAGGAGATGACAGCAGCAGGGTGCGTAGCACCAGCAGCAGCAGTTCCAGCAGTGGAGAGGACCTACAGCTTTGGCTGCAGTTGCTACTTCTGTTGTTTCCTAAGGGAGGCGACAGCTGCCTCCAGCTCTCCGTCCTCGCCATGCAGTCTTTTGATTTGTTGGTTGCGAAGGCTGCACGGGGCACAGCGGCAGCTCGTGTTGTAGCAGATGCGACAACAGACGTCTCTGCACCGGCGGCATCCGCTAATACAATTTCCCAGGGAGGGAGCCTCCTGCTGGAGCAACATGAACCGCTATTTGAGAAGCCAAGCATTCTCACGGACGCTAAGGGCACTTCGTCGAACTCTCAGCGGAGGCTACAATCACAAGACTTCGGTCGCGTTGCCGAAGTGCGAAGGCTGTTGTACCCCGGAGGCATGCAGGATAAGTTGGTGAAGAGGCAGCAGCAGCTGCTCCAACGGCGGCAGGAGCTGCTGCTGCTGCTTTTGAGGCCCCACATAGAAATGAACCAGGTTGCTGCAAAGCGAGCGATTTCTATGCTCCTGATGCAGTTAGCGGAATCAGAGGGACCGGCTGCACTTGTCAGCATGCGGTGTCTAACAGAGCTGCTCTGTCCGCTTCCTCATGCGGTTGCTGCGAATACGCATTTGCATCAACAGGCACAAACGCAGGGGGATGATAAACAGGATCCTCCGCTGCAGCACTCGCAGGCATCTCTGGAGTTAGAGCGAAGCAGCAGCAGCAGCAATATTCTGCACCGTCCCGCAATTATTCGCAGGGTGTCGCGGGCTTTTTTCGCTGTCTTCCCTATACGAAGGACTCGTATGGGCACTCGCCGTGCCTGCTTGCAGCGGCTGCGCCATCGGCTTGCCTCTGTTGCTACTGCCTCGGGTCCAATTGACTCCGACGACGCCATTGCTGCTGCTGCAGCAGCTGCTGTTGCAGCGCCTGTTTTGGGCATGCCAGGTGCGAGATGGGCTTCAAGGGAGACAAAGCAAGGCTCTATGCAAGACAACGAAAAAGAGACAGACGGCAGCTCCCAAGCGGATGCTGGCAGCGACTTCTGTGTGGCTGCCTTAGAGTATGAAGCGCAAACCTTTTGGACACAGCGGCTGCAACAGGAGGAGGCTCAGCTAGAGGAGAGCGCTGCGGAATATCTGTTTCGTCTCGCACTGCTTGACTTTGACGCGGTTCTTAGCCCGCTGACCGCGTACACTCAGCCTTCAAGCGCAGATCTTTCCAAGATGTCTTCTGCGTCTGCGGGGCCTGCGGCTAGCAGCCTCATTTCGCCAGCTCCTTCGCCAGTGTCTACTGGTTTTCGAGAGGGAGAGGAGAGCTTTGTATCCGCGGGAGGCATGGCAGTGCAGAGGGACGCTACCGCCGTGTGGAACCTCAAGGGCCTCACTGCGAGTCTCCTGAGCCTTGAGCAGTTTGAAGACATGGCGGCAGTCATCCAGTGGCGGGGGAGCTGCTGTTTCTATAGCACGAACTGCATCCACCGCTTGTTTGCCTCGTGCATTTCGCGAGATAAGTCTCTCGCGGCCAAACTGATCTCACACGTTACGGGTGTCTGCAACAAGCTGGCAGCAACTGCCCCCGCGGCTGGCGAGACAGGAGCCCTCGCTGCTGAGGACCAGCGCGCTCTTGTTGCCGCTGCTGCTCAGGCCCAACACCAAGCGACACTGCTGCTGCTGCTGCTGCTCCAACACGAGCAACAGCACCAACACAAACATCAGAAGCCGTCCTCCTTGGGCAGGATGCTGCAGAGACACACAGCACCTCTACTCGGAACAGCTTTGTTGCGGCTCGGTATGGCTCATGCGGCAACGAGCCTTAGCGGGTCGCAACAGCAACAGCGGCTGTCTCCACATGCTGAAAGTGCGAGACTCCAGATCCTTGGCTCCAACGATGAGCTGATTAGCTGGGATTCACTGAAAGCGCAGGTGGAAGGCTCTGCTGCAAGCTCCTCCAAGGAAAACATCAGTCCTAGGAAGGCCACCCAGCTTATCTCCTCTCCTGTCGCTGCAGCAGCAGAGCTCCTCGTTGCCTTAGCTGATGTAACTGGACTGCGGCAGGCTCTGAAAGCCCTAGACGGTTGCAATTTTCTTGCGAGAGCCACAAATCCTTCCGATTGTATCGGTGCCATACATGACGCAACCCTGTACGCAAGAGCTTTAAAACTGCTATTGCTGCATGTTGGCTCTTCTTTACCCCTCCAAGTATTGCAGGCTGTGCTCCTGCACGGTCTTCCATGCATGCTGCTGTAGCATTGTATGTCTGTGTCATGTGTGTGCGCATATATATATATATATATAGAGTGTGACATATGTGTGGGTATCTGTATCTAGGTGCATGTACGTGTGTGTCTGTGCATCTATATGTGTATACATGTTTGCATGTTTCATATGCGTGTGTTGGAATATGCCACCGACGCTGTTCTTATGCCCGCTCTCTTCAGGCTCTTTGGAGCTACGCAGCCGTCGCTGCTGCCCGCATTAATTCCCTTCCTTGCACCTTTCTGCGGCCATCCGCTTTTGGGGTATAGAAGCTCAGCAATTGCTGCGATGCAGGGAGCAGCAGCAGCGCTGCACGTTGTCAATCTCGTTCCCTCCGCTGGTTTAACTGACGCCCGTGCCACTGGCAATGAGAGCGTTTCCTCAAAGCAGCAGCAACAACAACAGCCACGCAGCCCGGAGTACACCGCAGACGCGAGAGTGGCAGCAAATGCGGGTACCTCCATGCCGCATCGACATCCCAAACAGCATTTCTGTGGCACCTGGACAGCATTCGTTCCTTCCAAAGCTTTTCCAGACATCACTACCAACGGTCTACTGGCAGCTGGTGCTCGTGTGCAGTCTGCCAGTGCCTCTAGGTCACCTTGTACTGGGCAGGGGATGCTGCTGCTGCCGGCGAAGAGCATGGAGCGGTTGCTCGAGACTGCGACGGATGCTGCTGTTGACGCTGCAGCTATGACTTTAGACGACATCCAGCCTCATTTGCTACGGCTTGAGGTCCTCGTTTCCACTGGAAAGACAGCCCCCCCCGATGCTTCAGCTGCCGCAGAGGCTGTGTCTGAGAGTCTGCTCGCTGCGGATGCGCTGCACTCTTTGCGGTCCGCGTTAGCCTGCCTCCAGATCCTGACGCACTTGTGGGTTGGCTTGCACCGCACAGCGGCGGAGGGAGGTTTTTCTCCCGCCGCAGCAGCTGCATGTGCCGATGCAGCCGCTCAGGATGCGGAAAATGCACAAGGCACAGCACTTCCCCATGCAAGTCATGCCTTTGGCAATGAGTCACGTGCGCTGCGTGTCTTGGAAGTTTTTGAGGTGGTAGGGCCACACTTCAGTGCGTTCGCTGTTCCCTCTGACACCCCATCCGCCTCCCCTCATGCTTTTCTCTCATGCGGCTTCCTGCATCTCGTCCTACTACTTGCTTTCGGCTGTTGCTGCTGCGTAGGGCTTCGCAGTATACCCAACGCTGAGATGCAGGCCTACTGGGAGGCAGGCGCATGGCGGGGAAGACGCGTCTCGCGAACGGGAAGGAGCCACAGGAGTCGCAGCGGCGATTGCTGCAACGGCTGCATCAGCTGCGTTTGAGGCTACTCTGCAGTGTATCGTGCATTGTGCGGCCCTCCCACGTTGCGCCTGGCCTTCGGAAGCAGCAGAGGCTGCTGCTCTTTCTCTCATCAGAAGGCGGCTGCTACAGCCATCCTCTTTCTTGCCCTTTGCCGCCATAAGCGTAAGCAGGCACGGGTGTGCTGTGGCTCCTGCTGCTGCTCGCAGCGCAATCCTGGCATAGTTGCTGTGCTGCCGCGGAAGCTGGGGCTGCAGTGGTAATCTGCATGCCCGAGGCTTCGTTTCTGTTGATGCGCGCGTATCTGTGTCAGGAAACACCCCTGCTGCCTCTCCTCTTTCGCGCGCTAAAGCACAGCGCGATGCTGCTGCAGCAGGCGCACGGCGAAGAGGAACCGGCAGCAGCAGCAACTGACCCCGGAAAGCTTTGTGACACGCACTTTCTGAAGCCGCGTGAAGCCGACGAGTTGGCATTCGCGGCTCTCTTCCACTGTGGAACCACCAACCCAGCAGTCACACAGGCAGCGGCAGAGTGCCTGCTCACCTTGCTGCCGATGCTCGGACTCCCAAAGGGGAGAACCTCTCAAAGACATCTGCAGTGTCTACAAGAGGCATTAAAAAAAGAACTCGAGGCTCTCGGCCTGATACGTCCTGTACTCCGGATCCGCGCGAATGAGCCGCAACAGCTACCGTGTGCGTGCTGTTGCGTTCTGGAGCAGCAGCCGCAAGAGCATGCGCAAGGGCAATATTCTTCTCTAAATAGGAAGCCACGGGCAGTCTCTGGGCTGCTTTCTGCCGCGGAGTGCTTCTTTTACAGCGCTGCCCTCTCGGGTACACGTAGCGAATCAACCGGCACCACACGTATTCACGGCGGTACATCTCTTGTGGCACGCAGCATGCGACTCCAGCGCCTTCTGAAACCGATCCTTAGGGCTCTACTTCACGCCGACTGGCACGCCAACTTGGAAAGGACCTGCTGCCTGTGCAGCCTCGACGATCCCGACTTCTTCGCTTCGGAGGTGAAGGCCAGGGGAAGTTGCGAAGGAGCTCAGGCTACCAGTGGCTCCAGCGGAGCGACCAACACGCCACTAGACGAGGGCGATGGTAGCCGCTCTCTTGGAGGCTGGAACGCCAGCGAGGGCAACTGTGGAAGCCGCACTGAGGATCCCCCCAACCTCGTGATGCACGACCTCTGCTATAGGGCCTGTCGCCGGCTTTGCCTCCGCATTTGCCACCTGCTCCAGTGCTGTCGGTACTACTTCCCTTCCCGTTGCAGCACTGTTTCCGCGCCTCCTCACCCGGCTATTGTGCTCCACAAGCAGCAGGCCAGTGCACGACGAAAGCAGCGGCGGGTTGACTGGCTCTTCTTTGGTTCTTTGATTGGGAAAGACACTCAGAGTGAGGCAAAGGCGAACGACGCTCCCAGGAAGGAAGGCGAGAGCAGTTGGCGGCCTCCAGGCGGAAGGGCTTCGTTCTCCAACCTTCCAGGGATGAACAGAGAAGTGGCACTCAGAGCTATAGACGGGGTAGGCCTTATACGAACCGTTGCCGGCTTTTTTGGGCATAACGAAGAAGAGGAGCCTGCACCAGAAGGGCAGCCCTCAGCAGAAGAGTCCGAGAACAGCGATGCGGTAAGAAGGCAGAATACACTTATAATGGCTCCCAAACCGTAGATAGGCACTATGTGTGCCTTCTTTCTATGTGAGGCGCGTCTGATGTGCTTTGCTATTTCTTCATGGATCTGCACCTTTAGCTACGTGAGCTCAATGCCTGATAGTCCCTTCGTTGCCTGATACCTGGTGTCGACCGTGATGCATACGCCTTCCTTTTTCTATCTCTGCCCGCCGCTTGACGCACTCCTTTGGTGCTGACTCCTCCTCCTTTCATGCTCCCCCTTTCGTTTGCCCGTTGCTCGCGGGGTCTGTCAACACAGAGTAAGTATGCCAGCCTTTCCGTGCGCGGCACTTCACGCATATATGAGTGGGAGTGCAAACACAGGGCTCTTCATACCTTTCCATCGCTATCGCGTAATATGTTCGTGTAGTACATGCCTACTGCACGAACATGCGCGCAGTTCCTTCCAGCTTCAGGGGTTTTCTGAAGACATCATAGCTCTTAACTCAAAAATCAACCGATCGAATCTTTTTGGGTGGTCGTACTGCATGTCGCAGGAGTCAGAAATGCGGGAGACCGCGGATGTGCAAAAGTGGCAGCACATGACCTTTTTTCTCTCCAATCCTCCAGGGCCAGAGCTTCCTATGGAGGCGGGTCCTATCAATCCGCATCAGCCTCTACAGCAGCAGCAGCAAAAGAAGCTTCAACTCTTCTCCGAATCTGCTCCAACTGCTCAGAAGGCTGCAGATGCTCCGATTCTCTCAGTGTCTCTTGATTCTGTAGACCTGGAAGACGAGGTGCTAGTACAGCTACAGCAGGCGCTAGAGTACTTCAGAAGCAATCATCAACACAGCTGGACGCGCTCGGAGCTCTTTCTCTGTGCCTCAGTGGCTTCGACGTGTATTACAGAGGCCCTATACGGCCTTTGCTATCGGCAGCCGTTGATTAACTACCTGGAATCTTCCCCAGTCCTCGTTGCTCAAGGTCTCGCAAGCTGTTGCTGCAGGCAAGTCTTGTGGTTGTTCCTGCTGTGGGTGCTATCAGGGATGCGGGTGTGCACTTATACTATAGAGGCGTGTAGTGGCTCGCAAGGACGAGCCCGTTTGCGGTGTTGCCCCTTGGATGTTGCTACCGTGCATTCCAAAGCTTCCTGGTCTGCTAGGTGTTCTTTGCTAGTATCCGTGGCATGTCACATTTGCTTGCTGACTGGCTGCGCTAGCCCTTATCTTGCGGTCTGCAGGCAGCTCTGTGGCTTGCTCAAGATGCGCTCGCCGCTGCCACATGTGGAAGGCAATACTGCAGGATCACCAAGGGCTCTCGGCAGCAGCGGGCGTCTGTCGAGCAATACGGCAGCTGCGAACATGGAAAACGGTGCATCTAGCATCAGGCATTCAACTAAAGCAGAAGCGATCGAGCTAGAGGAGGAACGCGCTGTCGCCTCTGTGGCCTTAATGGGCCTTCGCCATGTAGGGAATGCTCCATCTCGCGAGCAGCAACAACAGCAGTCGGAACACCTGCATCTGCACTCAGAGCTGCAGCCACACAAGGATGAGGAATCAGGGCTAGAGCAGAGTGTGACGACAGTGCCAGCGGCACCACCCTGTGCTCAGGTCGTTACAGACGACCAGGAGAGGAACACAACACAGGTGTCTTCTTCGTAGGTTTGGGGAAGAGGGAAACGGAGGGGGCGGATTTTTCGGGCTTCGCCGCCTTCCCAGTGTCCCCCAAACAAGAGGGTTTGTGCCATCGGTGTGACCTTTTGATTGGGTGTAGAGTGATAGAGACCTTACAGGCACTCTCCCGACGCGGTGAACGGAAGAGTGCTAAGGCGGAGCATGTACGCCAAGGGCATGCCTCTGAACTACACAGCGTGTAAAAGTGGGACTTCAGCCGTGACACTGTATACTATTCCTTGTGTTGTGTGCACGCCGCAACATCCCCAAGGAAGAATTAGTACTAGATCAATAAACTGGCTAGCGGTCGAAGAGAGTGAACCAGGCAGTGCCAGCTTGCTGACGAGAAGAACGGGAAAAGAAGCCGAAATTATATAGGTTTATACCTTCGGCCTTCTGTGTGTCTAGTGTACACTAGCTGTACAGGCCTAGCTGAGAATTATCAACGTTATCGAATTGCAAGCCCATGGATTGACCTGATCGCTGTATCTCGCATGAAGCAAGCAAGCAATTATATTGCCATGCGTTGGAAATGTACGGGGATATTGACAGCCTAATCCATGATTAATGGGGCTCGCAACTCACCAATTCTGGGCATTTCTTCCAGGTGCGACGATGTTTCGAGAAGATCCTCAGCTCAAAACATTGAGCAGACACCGGTAATGATCCAACGCCATAGCACTGTTGAGGATTCGTATTAACTCCCCTTTACATTCATCCCATACTACTCCAACGTGTTTATGCATACAAAAAAGCAGACTCTACATCCAATTTGGTGCACGGCACAACCCCCAATGTGCGCAAAAGAGCCTCCGGCCATCCCTCTGGCACTGTATGTACACCCGTATTTAGCAAAATTCTGGTTACACCCTGTGGAAAACCATAAGTTGCGGAGTCGTATTTCTACCATTACCATTCGTATTTCTTCTTGTATGCATTACTCCGGCCCAAAGCCACAAAAGGGACGCTAAAACGCACTAAACTGTTTGGTTACATATGCACCCTGATAATCCTGGAGAATCCCAGAAGCGTCCAAATATTATTTCAGCATAATTGCTTGACATACTGAGGCACGATAGTTGAGTATGGGCTTGCATATTTTAGCCGATATCTCGTACCTGGGTTTGCCGTGAGTGTGGCTCTTTTAGCTGATCTACGTAATAAAACGCAGTCTGTAACCAAGATTATCGAGGCTGGTGTAGCAAGAAAGCATATTGAGCATCTTAATACTCCTCCGCTACTCGCGGTGCCCGATTCTGGGCACCATTGGTTCCTAGCAGCCGCGATGCTAGTGACGCAGCGGTAAATGCTACTCTGTCCCAACAGGTGTCACGCTAGTGCTTGTCATCCCCATATATTCACCGATGCCGAGCAGCGGCATCCAGTGTGAGAGAAGCATCTGATTGAAAGTGTTTTTACTGTTTTTGTAGGCGCCATTTTACTGACCCATCAAATCATCGGTTTTTACTGTTCGTGGATAGCGATTTTCAAAAATCTGGTTATCCTACAGTTGTTCGCTGCCTCAGAAACTTCCTGCAGTACATCTTTACAGAGAAGTATATGGAGCCCACCACAAATTTGCTAGGCGATGCGCTGTCGCGCCAATCCACCAGCTCACTATTGTGCAGCGCAATCGCTCTTGCCTGTGATGCTTCACAATTTATTTTATATCGACAGCGTTTAGGTTTTAGTGCTTTCGACACTCATGCGTCGATTTTATTGCCAAAATCGGGAACGCTAAAAGGATTAAGCATTACCACGTTGCAAACGACTTGCTCTGGTCCAGCACAATGCCACGATTCAGTTGTTTGCACATTGCAGCTTTGGTAGGCAGCAGCAGCACCATTTCGTGCGAGGCAGATGACCATGTTCTTCCGGGCCATGATGAAATTTGCACTACAGTAAAAACTGTCAAGGTCGTTCTGATGGTTTAGGATGCGTTGCAATACTGAGGAATTTGCACGGTTGTGCCCAAATTGCCAGCAACTGAAGCGGGACAGTTTCCCTGAGTCCTGCCGTGTGCAACGCCATTCGGTGCCTGAAAGGATAAAGAATTATCTGACAATGACCTTTGTTGTGTGGCGTTCGGACGTCATCACAAAATTCAGGTAGTCACTGACAGACCCACCAAGTACATCGATTTCATCCTCCCCTGCAGCTCTGTCGTGTTCCAGGATTTCGCGCGATTTCTCGTACTGCATGCGTGGAGGCCCTACGAATTACTCGAAAAGATCCTTACGGATAGGCAGGCAAACATTTTAGTGCGTTCTGGCGGCTCTTTGTGATCCACCTGCACATCTGCCAGATCTGGACTACTGCTACTCTTCCTCAGCCAGATAGACAGACAGGGTGCAACACGCTCACTCTTCCGCAACACTTATGGCGCTTCGCTTGCACAGATACGACTGCTTGGCTAGAGTCTCTTCCTTGTGCTTAGGGCATTTATGATAGGCGATTGTACATGCATCTGTCTACTGCTCTCCCTCGTCCAGGTCCACACTGACGAGCGCTTCTGCGATCCAAGCCTACATCTGGTGGTCCAGGATAAGTAGGCATTCTAATCAGCCGAGAACCGAGAGAACAACCGGCGAGTGCATGAAAATGTATGCACAAATAAGAGCAAGTTTAATCCGTTATTCCGACAAGCGGCGGTTAAATGAGTGTTTTGAGCCGAGAGATTTGGTTTTATGACATGCAGCGGAGGGTGGCCAGAAGAAAGCGTTTGCCGCCAGGTGACTAGGACTTCTTGGGATTCTTGCGCGAATCAATGCTCGTTTTCTACCGATCTTTCAGAGACTTCGTGGTACTACAGAGCTACCAAAATTGGCTTCCTGAAAAAGTTTCACAAGTTATTTTTTGGCTCACGGATCCCGCTTGGGGGGCTGGTGATTCTTCTGGAGACAAAGGATCCACATGAAGCCACAGAAGTGTCGAATTCCAGGCCTATGGAGCTTTCATGCCACCGTAGACAGGAGTATGCAGTGAAAGGGTGTGAACACCAAACTTAGTAGTCGAGAGAGGAGCAGCTGTGGTCTTTGATGGCTGTGGGAGGGCTTGCAACTGCGCAACAAACCTAGGTTTTCTGGAAGGTGCTACTTGAGTTTGTTGCTGGGTAACTTTCCTTCCACAGCCTGTCCTCTACCTCACATCTTCACTTTCATTTAGGAACCTTGCTGGAAACATTCCAGTTTATTATTGCTAAGAGCTTTGCTAGACTTAAGTTTATGCGCGTGTATTGCAAGGTTGATTGTTTCTACATCCTTCCTGCGTTTTGGGACTTTGGTATCCACTCTGCTGCGTGTTCCGACTGTATTGGCATGTAGACGTCGCTCAACGATGCGCGGAGGAACTGTTGAACTGGTGTGTATGATACTTTTTTCTACGTTCTGTGTACTTTCGGTCTTCCTATAGCAGGAGGCTAGCTCATACCAGCGCTCCAAGTAGTGCAAGGCCTCGTGCAACCGCAATCGCGCTGGTATGGTACTTCTTTTTTGTGGCTGATATGTGCCTTGCTTTTTTCTATTTCTTTTCACCAGTTAATAAGCACTATACCTTTCGCATTTGCATTTTCCCCGCCTTCCTGGCTGCCCGAAAAGTAGTGATAAGGTCGGACTCTTCCGTTGTCGTGCATGCAGTTGGTTGCGACGGGCGAATTAGTAATTCCTAGAAAAATAATAAGTCTAGGGGGCGGGGGGCAAATAGGGGTGGGGGAAGACGGGGAACAGAGCGAGCTAAGCTACGCTGTTAAAGATCCTGGCACAGTGGCTATACTAAACGAGTAACTAGTAAGAATTGGCTGATTGTTTTGCCCGTTGGGGAAACATTTTTGTGCTGCAGAGTACCATAAGCTCCAAACTATTATCGCGGTGTTGTGTGCCTGCGCACTGAACGTCATGTGGATTTAGCTCTGACTGATCGAAGTGCCTTTAAAGTCTTGAAACGTGCTTCCTAGCTGTGCCTCTCTCCTCATACCGGAGCTTTTAAAGCCGAAAGCGGACGAAGGAAGTAGCCATTTCGAAAGAACAGGAGTGTTTCAGAGATAAGTATTTCATGCACTCAATCCAGTAGATCATAAGACAAAACGTACATTCAGCTATATTGATGTTTTATAAAAACACCAGGCTAGTCTAGAGGAGGCAGCAACGGACGAGCATTGCCCGATATGCTCCGTGCCCAGTCGGCTGTTTGGCTTCTCCGTGAAATAGATAAGCATGCGTGTATGCAGTACATACGTACTGTTGCAGGCAATCTAGCCACACAATTCTGTGCATATCGGCTTCAAGTGTAGCATGGATCCGCAAACACATCGAAGTGTTCATCGGGGTTTCGCAAGTGACCCCGAGTCAATCGATTGCCACGGGGAGAGATTCGCTTGGCAGTTGCCTTCGGCACTGCTTTTTCTAGAACTGAGCTTTTCTTAACCGTTGCCCTGCTTGGGTGTAGGCTGCAAGCGCTGACATGACCTGTGCTCGTAAACAGTAATGTCTCCCATTTGCCCCCAATGGCCCCCCAGAGGAGAGGTCCTTGGCCCTACGAAGACAATCACTTCCCTATACACTATATAAATACGCACGATTACCCTCTTTACTGGTACAAAGGCCCCCTAACACAGAAGGAACGCTTCGGCATCGATGAGGAGACAGCGTAATCCACGACCTGCTTTGGGGGTGTGCTTCTGCAGCAACCACCGTGCTGTCTGTCTAGGGATAGCTACGGGACTGATCAGACCCGCTTTTTGGTTTTCTAAAGTATCCCCAAGTGTATATGGCACAGAAGGCTAAGGGCTGCTCAATCCTGAAGGGCTACCCTCATTTCACCCCAAGCCCGTTCCCCCCAGAAGGTCTGCGGGGCCTGCCCCACTCTGCCATGTCTGCAGCGTCCAAGGTCTTCTGCTGTCCGCTCTTCTTTTGGCCTTCGCATTTGTCTTTTAGCGAGCAAAGGTACCACTCTTCAATCACCTCCTCTTAATTAGACCACCGAATAACAACCACAGCCTCGCTCCGCCCCTACCTCCGCCTCCCCGGTGTATGCCGAGAAGTTCTACAGCACTCACTCTCACTGCAGCAGCCAATAGAGTCTTTATTCGCTATCCTAGTTAGCTTGAAAACTTTTTTTGGAGCGAAGGCTGAGGATACACAGCCAGTAATACCCGCAGCAGAAGGAAAATCATCAGCACCAAGATGAGGCTTCTGACCCTCCGCGCGTTCTCTTTGTGTTGCTTGGCATTCCTCTGCATTGCGCTGTGTGTCTCTGCCTGTTCTGGATCTCTTTTGGACATAGGGCGGGGTAGGCGCGGCGGGGGGGAAGGCAGCGGCGCAGGAGACAGCGGCGTTGTGCGGTGTTCGTTCATAGCAGGAACTGGATCCCCCGAGGGAGGCCCGTCAGGGGCACCGCTGTCTTCTTTCTTCGTGCCAGCGAGCGACAGGGCTATGTATGAGGAAGGTCTGAGGGACTACTTACAGCAGATTGGGGCTCAGGCTTCTGAGTTAAGTGTGGTCTGCGCGCCTTATCTGTCGTCGGAGCCACTGACCTGCCAGTTGTGCATGTATAACGAGGTGTCTAGGGACCTGAAGCATGTTCGCCATGGGCAGGTGCTGTCATCCCTCCTCCCGCAGTGTATGCAGGGGGCTTTTGAGCAGGCATTCAAGATGCCCCTGTCGCAGTACCACCCCATCTGCTACCCAGAGGAGAAAACCCAACAAGCAACACAAGACACCAAGCAGCAGCAAATTGTGCAGCACGGAGCAGATGGATCCTGCAGCAGCAACTAAACCCTTCTCTTTTAGCAGTAGCAGTTTCTATCGCTGGAGTCGCTCGCACTATTAGTTGCTGGGGTCGCAATCGCGATCGCCAGTCTCAACTGAGGGCCAAACCCCATGCTGTGCCCCATTCATTTGTAGCTTGGATGCCTACTCATGGGGTTTCTGCGCTTGTCCTTTTTGTTCTGGACACTGCAGAGTGCCACATAATGAAGCACGGTCCTACAGTTCTACAGCTCCGCGCAGGTCGCGCCGAACAAATGCACTGCACTTAAATGCAAGAGCCGACCCAGAAAACCGCACTTCTTTATATTCAAGGATTCTGGGGACTTTTAAAAGCCTTGAATTGCCATAGGCGTACTGTAGTGTTTTTTTGCCGGAAGGTTTGAGGTGTACTTACACAGCGAACTGAAGGAATAGTCGACGGCTTCAGGACTTCCGGTCATCTTCTTTTTAATGCAAGTCTGAGCCGCTTCTCATCCACTTTGCCTAGGAAGGGTGCAACTCCGATGAAAATACACGTAACGCAGTACCCCTAGCACAAATGAATGTTGCGTTTATCGAGCTAGACGCAAATAACGTATGTTGCATACATCTTTAGGAGGCATGTGTTTGTGTAGGTATGGGGCTTTGGATGCTGGTACTGTTGTTGGTATGGGTGATGCATTGGTGAGGCGTTTCTGCATCCTTGAATAGAGCTTTGTGCCATCGTATTCCTTGCTTAGTAGACACAGTGTCTATGCCGTCTCGATCCGTTCCCGCATGATCTGCTAGATGCCCTCAGTTGGGGGCGATCGGGATACGCATTTGGCTTCGCGTGTGAGCACGCTCTGCTGAGATATAGATGCACTTCAACACCACACGTCCATAAGCGCACAGGTTATACGCTTTGGGGAAACACGAATGCATGACAGAAGAGGACAGAGAGAGGAGCCAAATAGTGTCTCGCTCTGTGTAATACAAGTCGAGATTGTACTGAAGAGGAGCATCGTTTATACCATTGCTTATTTCGACGTCTTCCACAGAAAATGGCGCATAATGGTTTGTATGCCAACCCGAGTCAACGTGGTCTATATGGGCATTGCAGGTGGTGACAGGGTCTAGGACGAGTCCCTAATGGAGCTCGAGGATTGGCAAAGAACAGGCCTCAGATTGCGCAATCACTGTGCAGTGGTAGGTAATGCAACATCGACTGCGCACGGTGTAGAACGCAGCGTACGATGAGATGTGAAAAAACAACGAACAAGTGGAACCGGAAAAGGGGCCTGGACGTATAGTCACGATGTGTCAACAGAACAGCGCTTCGTGATTCGTGTGTGGGCTCGCAAAAGTAAGCGTAAGCTCTTTGATGATATAGCGAACCGGGAAAAAATGGAATAAATGCGAAGGATTCCCCTTCGTCCATGTTAAGTTCTCGTGTATGCAAGGGCCCCGGAGGGTCAACGTGGGGCCCTGGCACTGATATCCCTACATCCCATGAGTAGAAGCCCTTGAGAAATATCTACATCTGGACTACTTTTGTCTTTGGTACTGCCCCTTAAGCCAGTGCTACCCCAAACAGGATGAGGTTCTCGCTATAATAGCTTCCGGTCTCTCCCAGCAGCGCGTTGCTTCAGTTAAGTTGCTGCAGCAGCACCATTCAAACCCGGCAAGCGTAAGAATGCCCCCCATGGACGTCTAGAGTCCCAGAAACAGTAGGCCATGAAGCCTCATTGGTCACAGCTCTGGGGTGTTGGAGCAAGTGTAGCGGCCCCTGTCCGCTATCTGCAGGCAGCCCGACCCAGGCTGCAGCCTCTCCTGAAGCAACAGCAGCGGCAGCAACAGCAGAAACAACGGCCTGATGAGCATGTTCGATCTTGTGCTAAAATTCCTTCGCCACCGAAGGCGCATGCACTCCCCTGGAGTCGGCACACGGGAGCCTGTGGCCATGTCAGCGGCCCGCATCTCCCGGCAGTAGCTGGACATCGGCAGCAGCAGCGTGATATAGCCAGTTTTCACCGCGCAATGCGTCAGCTACAGTGGCCTCTCATGAGGGCAGATATGTGCGCATTCTTTGAGCAACAGCTAAAGGGCCCTGCGACGAGCCTGCAGCAGCTGCAGCAGCAGCACGATAAGCAGCAACGGGGTCAGAAACATCAGGAGGGCGTGTCCTTCTGGCGAAGCAGTACTGTTGATGTGGACTGTATGCCGTGGGAACGATTTGTCAGCAGCGAGCAGCTACAAGCCTCAGGGTTTGTCCCCGCAGTCATCAAGGGCCAAGGGCCTTACAGGCGCTGCGCCATCCCGAGGGTTGCCCTGGAAGCCCTCGCCTTCGACGAGGCAGAAGGCCATTTGTCTCTCTGTAAGGATAGAGGAAATGCTTAGGGGCGGTCTCGCAGTCACAGAAATTGTAGCGCCGAAGGCTTGCGTACTGGAGCTCCTTGCTTACGCTTCATGAGGAAGGCTGTGAAGACCAGGGATTTAAATATACTACTTGCGTGGTGCTACGTCTATTTTGGCCTACAGTATTTAGCGCCCGGCTTTTCCGGCTGCGTATGGGGGACCTCATCGAGTGCTGCGTGGCGAAGGACGTGAAGGCGGACCCGTGTGAGCAGTGGGCATGGGGGCTGGGTTTAGGTGGGAAAGTAGCTTTATCTCTGGAGTGGGGCACTTTCAGCCCACTGGTTTGTTTTCATCCCTGTGGTGAAGAGCTCACTTCTCATCCGTAGTCGTGCAAACAGGCGCTTGTATAGGTCTGAAAGCAGGGCGTACATCTTGGTAACGTTTTCTTGCATCGCCCACATTGTATACGTGTACAGCTCTCTGTATTGATTTCAAGCATTCTATACATAGCTATGCTTCTGTATATTTCCAAGTATTAGTTAGTATTTGCGTGCAATTGTATATAGGTGCATGCGTTTGCCCGTACTTTGGATCGCACGTATAGTGATACCCCATATCCCGGTCTGTCAATGTAAACGAAAGCCATGGGGGAAAATAATAGAACTTAGATGGGCACGGCAGGGAAGAATGCTCCGGTAAAACGGAGTAGGACTGCCGCTTTACGTGTGGGTATGCCTTGCGCTTTGTGGTCTACGATTTGGGTTGATATGCAGTGGCACGGCATCTGTATTTTGTGGGCTTTGAGCGACACGTGGAAGGAAAACTCACTGAAGTATCGCTGCCCCTTACCCTTGTTGGACTCCTGGCCTGCCCAGCATATCATAAAGGTAGCTTTGATTCCTAGGCCCTAAGGTTTAACCAACTTTTTGAACGCTTAGCGGCAGACTTTGCGTTTTGTTCTGTGCCGGTGCGGCCTTGGGCCTTCTTTGGGATACACTGCGGCTTACGGCTCGCCGTATGACTCATCTCTTTGTTCGTACTATCATTGCCTCCTCGTCCGTCCCCGCTCACAGCGCACTGGTATTGTAGTATCTGCTGCTTTGGTTTTCGCTTTAGGATACCACGTGGAGCTGGCAAAGCCAACAGTTCCAGTGCAGTTTGTGGGGCTGGAGCCGCCGCCTCCCTTTCTGGTGGATGTCTCGGAATTGGAGTTCACCCCACCTTATAGTGCCATCACGGTGGACTGCCTGGCTGTAAGGCGCGAATCCCCTGTTTTGTGCATTCAAGTAAAGGGCTATGAGCTGGCACTCAGAGGCCGACAAAGAGTCAGATTCGGTGTTTCGAATATCGTAGCCACCTTTGTGCATCAAGACCAGATTCGGATCTTGGGTGTTCTATTTGAGTTATTATTGCGGAAGTCCAATATTAAGCCTTATCGGATTCAGGGCTTAATGTTTGAGTCAGCGACTACTTGGTGTGCCTTTGGCCTCAGAGTCAGTTACCTACGGATGGCACTGCTCGTTTCCCTCCATCTTTAAGTCCCAAGGAGGAGGTAGCGTGGGCATACGAAGTTGGCTCGGTGAGTCTAGGGCTTATTTGTTTCTTGTTGTTCAAGTTAAAGATTCAGTGTCTACGGTTCAGGATATCAAGATGCACTCCCTCCTGTGTGCTAAGGAATCTACTTACCTTGTTTGCTCCTAAATGGCTTGACTGTCTTCTGCTGCTGCGTCTGGGCCCTCTTTCAGCTGCCGGAGGCTTCCCTGCCTCCCGACTGGAAAGATCCTAACTTTATTGACAGGAGAGGTAATATGATGGATGTCTGGTACCACCGCAAGTTCCCTAGGCCTTCCTAGTGTCTCACCCTCTCGAACGTTTCTTTTTCAAAGCCTGTGAACTCTTTACGGGCTAAGAGGAGTGGAGCCTCCGAATTTTCCTCAGGGGCCTCTTCTCTGGTGTAGGAGATTGTTCAGTCATCAACTTTGAAGTAAAATAAAATACAAAAAACTCATTTGAAAGCCCCGTTTTCCTGCATCAGTCCACCTTTCTCATGCCACTAAGGGGGGTTCAGCAGGGCATTGAAAGACTGTTGACACACTGTGAGTTGGTATTCCTAAAGCTTTAAAGGAATCGCTCCTGGCATGCTTAAATGCGCATTATGCTCTCTACACGAGTCCATTGCAAGAGGCAGCACAGATATAGATTGCCAGTGCTCGCCCCATAGAAGGCCGATGATGGTTGAACCCCAATCTTGAAGATGTGCCATTATACTCAAAAATTTCTGGAGGTGTAATATCCAAATTCGATATTTCTCAGCATAAAACTAGTCGGAAACGGGTTCAAGGCACGAATTCTAAATATTGGATTGTAAAATTTGACGCCTTAACGCCCAGGGAGGGAGGCGTAGCGGGCGTAGCCACACCTGGGCAGCTTCTGCTAAACGTTACACTAACTGAAATTTGGAAGAATTGGCCTACTAGGTAAGCTACTTGTGTAAGGCAGCATTATCTCGACTCAGTAAGACGAATCGTTATATGCTTTAAGGTAGATTCTGTGTGCAACTAGCTATTAATACTTGTTCTTGGAGAATACTGGAGAGGCCGCCCCAGCTGTCCTTCATTTTTGTAGAACACCCGAGGGGCGCAGGCAGGGAGGAGAGAGGCCTTCTAAAAGACAGCTTTTTTCCATTGCGCTTGGTTGAGTCTGGAGTAAAGTGTCTCGCTAAGAAGACAGAAGAAGTGTTAGCCTTGGTAACACCACACGGTTCGCTGAAGCTGTGCCCATATAATCCACTGGCTACGAAAAGATTCGATGTTAAATATCTGGAGAACAACTATCTTGCTGTTGTCAATGCATTTGGCGATTCGATTACTTAATGCCCTTCGATAACAGTTTGGAAAAATAAAACTTTTTGGCGATGGAAGCTTAGTGGAGCGCACCGCCTGTAGGAGCGGCCGAGGTAGGCTTGCAGGCCAAGGTGAAGGAGTAGCTCAACAAGTGGCAGAGAGACATGTTCTGTCAGCCGAAGAAATATGTATGGATGCGTCGATATGGGAGTACTGACAGGAACATTAAAAAGGTCAAAGGACGGGCAGCTGCTTAATGACTTCGACGGCCGGGTGGAGATATACCTTGCTTTTACTACCCAGACAAGAAAAGTTGTGCTCCTCACAACGTGCTTATTGAACGGACGAGTGCCCAAATGGTGGCTGTGTCTATTCAATGCAATTCGCGTAGCTGTAAGAATACTACAGTTTACGCCATCATAATGCCCCTGAATCATCGGATTATGCCGAGGTCAGCTTAGAAGCAAGCTTTGATAGAGCTGCGAGAGCTCAAGCAGACGAGTTTATCAATAGGCTTGTACAAAGAGAAAGGTAACACTTTGCATTACTAAAGTCACAGAGGAGAGGAATAACTGTATATAAGTATTTTGTTTCTGGTCGTCCTGCAGTGTCGCGCGGGAAATTCACAGAATGGGCGCTGACTCAGTGGCAGACAGCTGGCCCTAGGGGTTACCACAAAGCATGCAATACTTAAGGACTTAAAGGCAATTCAGTGCAGCTTCTAATTCTTTGGCTGAATGATAAGAGTAAACTCCGAACTTTGAAACTATGAATGTTGGCACTCTGTAAACGTTACCTAGCCTACAATCTAAGTTGGACCGAGAATAAAAGACTGAGAGAGGCAGCGCTCTTAAGCAGCCCCAGAGAACCACAAACAAAAAGAATGGTCTGTTTGTGGAAAGCTTATTTTGATAACTTGGAACTAAAACAGCATGCAACAAACCAAAGGATTTGGACAACTGGACTGGGCCTCGCGGGAGCAGGCTGCTTGGTAAGCAGACGTGCATCGGAAAACTGAATGCTCCCAATTAGGGTGCAGCGCATTGAAAGAGTCGAGAGGGGAAAGCGACACTTGGGAGCCCATTACCGGTTAATATTGTGCTGGTGCACATTCACGCCGATGGCCAACCATTGCTGGGATAACTTGGCACTGGATGCACAACGGATGTATTATCCGAGGAGATGGCGCGGATTGCAATCTGCCGGTCCGCGCGTTAATGTACCTCCTAGGAAATAAGTTTGTTGGGGGCAGGCACAATGCAAGGATTCCCAATGCTGCAGCAATCAAAGCTGACTTCAAATCTGAATCGGACCCTATAAGCATAGCCTGTGACTTTAATGCTGAATTCGTACATGACGTAATCTTATGTATACCGTAGGCAGCCCAGTGGAAAGCGCGCATGCGGAAACGGGAGTAACACAAGGAACCGACCCCTAGTATTATCAGGAGCGCTCGTTCCGTTTGTTGAGAGTTAAGTAGAGTCGGTGAACAAGGTGAGGCATACTCCGTACTGGCAATTCAACAGAGCAATATGAGGCAACAGAGCTGAGCATGCAACTCATCTTATTGGCTCCGCGTCTTGTTTGATAGTAAGCACTTTGGCTGAATGGTTCAGCGAAGGAACATCAAGAATGGACGTATATCAAGTTCTGGGATCTGCTGCATAATGACGAGCTGCATATACTTTGGTCACCCACTTGTCGTCGAGTGCACCTCATTGAGATAATTCTTAGGTCAGCTCCAAGCTATGCTGTGTAGTATCAAGAGGTGCGACAGTATCAGGAAAAGGCAAGGCGGCAGGCTGAGGACTTGCTTACAACAGGAATAGCTCAACACTCAGCCGGCACCGTTGGGCATGAACCGGTGTTGGTGCCGTAAAGCTACGAATGACGATGCACACGTGATGGATTCAAGTAGCTGGAAAAAATCAGTGTGGAGTAGAACACTTCGATGCCTCATTATGCTGAAGTGTAAAACTAGCTACACGAGCCAACTGTCTACTCCACATCTAACTTGGCAGCTGTCTTCTTGCAGACTTCCATTAACCCAGAATACAGGCCCGAAGCAGCGCTCCAAACTTGTTTTTGGTACTTCTGAAAGCCTATACAGGAGGAGCGGGAGCCTGCTCACATTAACAACGTGTCGAACGTCATGAAAAACGTTCACGAGCACCTGCATCATCCACGGGGTGTTCTTTAGCCGCTATAGCACCAGCAATGGTGTGTGAAGGCACGCAAGTGCTCGTGTTCTACCAGAACGATTATTTAGAGGATTTTATGCTTCGGCTGCATAAATCGGGCCAGATCCAACGAAGTCGAGGCAGTCAAGCCGTCTTCTGTACCCTTACCTACCCGCGAAAACGTTAGGAGGTTCTATTTACTTGCATCTTATTGCCCACCTTTCATACCTGAGCTTGCTCGGAGTGCCGCTCCTTTGACTGATTTACTTGTGAAAACGCAGTTCGTGGTTAGGACGAACGAGGCTTATGCCGTAGCAAAGGAGCATAAAAGGCTTCTTAGTACTCGCCGCTACCCCCGCGGACCGATTGTGGGTGCCATATCTTCCCAGCAGCCGATGTTAGTGATGCAGCGGTGGGTGCAAAAAGCCTGCGACAGGCTACCGCTTTATCAAAGCATCACGCTATTGCGTGTTACCTTCATCGCTTCAACAAACTTGTGCAGCTGCATCCGTTTTCGGGAGAAGAGCTTGATGGTGGTTGGCGGGGGAATGAAATTTTTTGGCTGTGGATATGTGAATATTATTGTGCTGTCCATACAGACCATGAGATTTCAGTGTTTCTGTGGAATAGTTTTCAAATTCGTGGTAGTCCTCAAATTGTTCCCTGGCGTGGGTGCCTCCTGCGTTCCAACTGTACAGTGATTTATTTTAAGGGCATTAACAATATGCTCGCCAATGCGCCCTGGACACCTTGGTGGTTCACTGTTGTGCAGCGCCACCGCTCTTGTCTCTTACGATTCATGACTTCCATAGACAATGCTTGCGTCCTATGCTCTTGATGTACATCCTTCTTCCAGTATTATCAAAATTCAGAATGGTGAACGGGTGAAGCATCACATGTTGAGGATGCCGTTCTATGTTGCGAATTTAAGGGAGGACACAGGCTTTGGTACATTCCAACCTCTCTTCGCAGTGTCATTTAGTGCGAAGAAATGATCATGCTTTTTCGGGCCAACGGTAAACTCACACTGCAGTGAAAAATGCCTAACTCTTATTTTGGTGGCCTGGTTTGTCCCGACGCAGAGGTGTTTGCACTAGAATGACCACATGTTCAGCACCTGAAACTGCACAATTATTCTAAATCCAGTTTGTACAAAGCGGTTCGGTACCTGGAGGGACAATGATCTCACTCACGACCTGATCTCACTCACGACCTCATCGCTGTACCATCGGAGGGTAAGGGTCAGGACAGCATCTACCTGGTCGTCGACCGACTCACCAAATATGCCCAATTTATATTTGATGTACTTCTATCGTGCCATAGGTAGCTTGGACCAAAATCATTCTAACCTGATGTATGAAGGTTCACGGAATAGCCAGGAGGATCATTACGGATAGGCAGGCAAACATTTTAGTGCGTTCTGGCGGCTCTTTGTGACCCACCTGCACATCTACCAGATCTGGACTACTGCTACTCTTCCTCAGCCAGATAGACAGACAGGGTGCGACACGCTCACTCTTCCGCAACACATATGGCGCTTCACTTGCACAGATACGACTGCTTGGCTAGAGTCTCTTCCTTGTGCTTAGGGCATTTATGATAGGCGATTGTACATGCATCTGTCTACTGCTCTCCCTCGTCCAGGTCTAAACTGACGAGCGCTTCTGCGATCCAAGCCTAAATCTGGTGGTCCAGGATAAGTAGGCATTCTAATCAGCCGAGAACCGAGAGAACAACCGGCGAGTGCATGAAAATGTATGCACAAATAAGAGCAAGTTTAATCCGTTATTCCGACAAGCGGCGGTTAAATGAGTGTTTTGAGCCGACAGATTTGGTTTTATGACATGCAGCGGAGGGTGGCCAGAAGAAAGCGTTTGCCGCCAGGTGACCAGGACTTCTTGGGATTCTTGCGCGAATCAATGCTCGTTTTCTACCGATCTCTCAGAGACTTCGTAATACTACAGAGCTACCAAAATTGGCTTTCTAAAGAAGTTTCACAAGTTTTTTTTGGCTCGCGGATCCAGCTGGGGGAGCTGGTGATTCTTCTGGAGACAAAGGATCCACATGAAGCCATAGAAGTGGCGAATTCCAGGCCTATTGAGCTTTGATGCACCTTGCGTGGTGGAACTGCTGAACGGGCGTATTTTCAATACCCTCTACACATTTTGCGTGTACGCTTTCTCGTAGGAAGAGGCTCACAAATCGTAGCGCTTCTACGACGAGTCATCGTGCAGCAGTGTTGATGTGTATTCTGGTCCTTCTTTCGTTGTTGGCTTGTGTGTGCATCTTGCCTCTCTTGAATCAATTATTGTCCGACGCACCTGTTTAGTTGCTCACTGGCTCCCTTCTGCACGTTTATACTGCACTGGGGAGAGGCGAAAGGATGGGGACTCTTTCGCTGGCTCGCAGGTACTTTGTTTAGACGGACAGATATGGAACAGGAGAACGCATGCTTCCAAATGCTAGCAGGTTCTGCATAAAACGCTACAGCTGAGCATGTTTTATCACACTGATTACATATACAGTAAAAGGAAAGAGCGAAAACCTTGAATCCTTGGTTTATTTCGTCCTGATTCTTATTTATCGCGGAGTCCGGTAAGTTCTAAGCAGTGAGGCATAGAGTTGGACTAGATGCTGTGTACGACTATATATGAATAACCAAAATGTTCAGGCGTTGGGGAAATGCGCAGTCCAGCTGTTCCTCTTTCTCCGTATCGGGAGCTTTGGGGAGTGCGGGGCAAGCTAAGGGGGAAGCTCTTTCGGGAAACACTAAATACCTTTATTATAACTTTGTATCTAGTGTGAAGGTGAGCATTTCTTGAGGAAAACCATACACACAGCCGGACATTCTTGTTAGCTGCCTGGGGTCGCATAAGAGATCTGGCTTCCTCGGCCCCTCATTCACCGTCCACCGAAGACTGTGGGCTAGGGCTGGTTAACATTGCCCCGACACGCATAGTGCCTAAATTTCAACATGATTATTTCTGGTCACACATAGCCAGACACATTACGCTCATTTGCTGTTGAAAATTCAAATATTCCGATCTTTGCGGACGCCTCACCAGTAGGTTGTCTGATCGCTGAGTCGCCGCCAAACTAAAGAACACCAGAAGTAGCACTTTGGCTTAGACCAGATATGAATATCTGGCAAAGCAGCTGCTGCTCTCCTCTGTGGCTTTGATATTTGAAATTTCATCCTTCTAAAGATACAAATCTATTAATAGACTTCCCTACTTGAGCTCTGCGCAGCTCTGTCATAGCTTGCTTGCAAGCTGCTCTCAACACAAACCGATGATCAGGGCTGGTATGAAAGGTTGAAATGTAATACCACTACAGATAGGCGAATTCCTCTGTGTAAGTGCAGACAGTATTGGCATGCTCCTGCAAGCGACGAACATGCTTCAAGGGTCTCAATTTTGTCATTGTGTGAGTAGTAGTAAGCGAGGTCCGTCTCCTGCGAGCTGATGAAGTTTTAGAGTAGTTGTTCATCCGTATGGCCATCACAACTTTTCGGTGAGCACCACCACACGGACGCGACCATACATTTTATCTCTGATGACACAGCATGCCTTTGGAACAGCTCCGGAGCTATTCCGTTCACATAAACATGCAAGCCTGCCTCGGCCGCTCCTACAGGCGGTGCGCTCCCGTCAACGTCCATCCCCAGAAAGTGGCTTTCCCTGGACTGCTGCCAAAGTGCACTACGCAATTGGATTGCCAAGTGAATTGCACCCAACAAGACAGTTGTTCTACAGATATTTGACATCCCATGTCTCACAGCCAGTGGATGAGCTGGGCACAGCTTCAATGGACCCTGCGTTGTTGTCAAGGCTAACACTTTCTGTCTCGCGGAGACACTTTACTCCAGACTCAATATGAACGTAACAGAAAGGCAGCGCAGGTAAGAAAAAGAGCAGTCTCTTTACCCAGCCTACGACGCTGAGCGGTCCGACATGGGAAACAGATAAGGTGCTCGTTTCTGGACCCTCCAGGCACTCATCATATGTCCCTAATTGCGTGTAGGAAGGAATCATCGCAAAAAGTACAATGCATCTTATCGTGTTCAGGTAAAACTGCCTTGCACAAGATGCACAAACAGCCGAACCAATCGGTAAAGTTTTACTATTTTTTCTTCAGATTAATCCAAAATAGTAAGAAAAACCTAGGTGTTGGCCAGCCGGCTACAGTGCTTGTTCGCAAAAGCCCGCATTAAGACAGTGAGTGCGATTTTCCAGCATTTAAATTAAAGGCTTTCCCGAAAATTTAAGTTATGAACTGGTCAGAGCTCTCGAGAGAGGACTGCATAAAAACCTAGTAGCGGCAATGTCTTTTTCAACGCAAGTGAAAGCGCTGCTTGGATTCTTTAACCCAGCAGTCGTATGCTTCCCATCTTTCACTAGCCACCGAAATTGTTACGAGTGCTTGTCCTTACCAAAAGGCGACTTACGAGAGCAGAACCTTCCTAAATGTACTGCCTTGCCTACAGCGTTAATCAAGATCGCTAAATCTATTGGTTGGCACAATTGAGCTACCTTAGGCATGCATATGTCGGAAGATCACGCAGGGGCAAGTGGCGAGAAGGTTTTGCAAGTGTGAAGAAAGCTTGACTACAGTTCTGATTCAGTCAAAGCTCTACCTTAATTGTGTCTCGCCTGATATGTACACAGTTGTGATGCAAAGGTAGGGTTTAGTAAGTTGGTGGTGATCCTAAGAGGCTATTTATGTAGGTACATGCGAATTCGATTGCTATCCAAAGCATATATGATTACCAACACAGCATTGTGATAACTCGGAGTCAAAAACTTGAGAATTAGCATACTATATTTGGTATTTGCAGTGTGAATATGCCCAGAATCGGGTAGGGGACGCATGAATTCCCCAATGCAGCGCTCCATCAAAGTTCTCCCTCAAGGTGACCCTCCTGAACTCAGTAAGGATTTTTAAAAACAGTTTACTGCATTATCTCCATTTTGGTGTATGCTTACTTTGTATGACCCTATAGGCTGTTCTTGCCTGTGGGCACCAAGGGCAGATGGCTTGCACGCAAGTGCACGGTGTGAGCACTGTGAGCGGCTGCTCGCGCCCATACACAACAATTTCGCGCAGTGCTTACAACGTAGATTCTTATTGCACGGAGCTGGACATATTACTGGAAACAATTTCGAAGGGAACAACAAACGTACGGTTCGTGGTTAAGACCCGCTGTTGATCGTCTTGTAAGCACAGCTTGTTCCCCACCGATGTACAAGCACCTTTGCTGGTATTGTCGCTATAACAGCTAGAAACGGGTCAGCTAGCTGATTCAAGAAGTGCTGAAACGTATACTAAGAATTCGAAACAACGGATATTTGGAAAATATGGCTGTCTGTAGAGATGGGGTCTCGATTCGCGTGCAGCCCCTCAAGCGCTGGTACGCAAGGAGGACGACCGTATTTCGTGGAAAACGTAATCTCACGCCATCCAGTGTAACCTGCCGACTCACCGCTCAGTAATGCATTAGGAAGAGCTTCTTCAGATAAAATTGTGGATACTTCTTCAACCCTACTTCTTGCATGCAAACCGTATTCGGACCTTTTCAGCATGTATTTCAATGGCCGCACGACGAACGTTTCGTATACCGCATGGGTTTCGCTGTTCCCACTACCATTTTCAGCATTTAAGGCTGGTATTAAGATTTAGGCTTTGATGGGACCATCAATTGGCTAATTATAGTGGATTAGGTGTGAAGGCTTGTGGAGTACCAACGGCTTAGCCCAGCATGGTACAACTCCAAAGGATTTTGTCTCGCTCTGTGGCAGTACGGCAACATACCACACTTTCCCGGAGCGCTGCCACTAACGCAAGCTCATTACCTTCTTATTACTTGTAATTATAACGTGTTAGGGGTTTTTTCTCTGTGACTGTCGTAAGCGCACAGTTCCGCATGCTGCCAGCCCTGTGGCAGCAGAATCGACTCGTGGCGGCTAGCCGCCCTTCTTTTGGTTTTATACTTTCCCTGCTCCCTTCGTCTCTATTATTCCCAAAATTCGGCATATAACGCCCTAAAGATTGCTTGGTTTTTCGCTTGTCCCTACTCTTCCCTCGGTTTCTTGCTGCCACCAGCCGAGAGTGATCCGTGGTCCAGTGTTCAGGTGCTGTGGGATGTAAAGAGAGATATTCACCTTGTTCTTGAATGAACCCGTACTTATGACGAATGAAGCCGTAGACGGGAATCAGAGGCCGAATTGCAAGGCACACACTTCGGAATTCTCAGCATGCCATCTGGTCCGTTGACGGCGGGATGCCACATCCCCAATCTTAGAACGTCAAGTCTCGAAGCAAATATTACCGAGTAGCTTGAATTCGGCCTTTTCTCTCCACCTTCGTCCTCTACTTGCTACTCTAAGGAGCTTTTTTGGACCAAAAGTTTTGCCCGCGGAGCATACCCGGCCAGTGAAAGCCATACGCTTCCTACTTTGTAAAAGTGCCGAGAGCGCATGCTCCCATGCACTTCAGTGCAGGGACACCTGACGCTTTTTGATATGCTATCATACAGATAATGATTTCGTCCTCTTTTACGGTAGTTCCTGCTTCATCGCTTCGGCTTTGATGCAGACACCGCCAAAAAGGGAAGCCTCAGTTTGCGCAACCCACTCATTTGGGTGCTTCTTGACATCAACTGGCTGCTACTTCTGTGGATCATCGGATTGAAGAAGAGCTTCCTGACTCATACTGAGCGATTAGGTGCTCTGTAACTGTGGGGTTCCTCTTAGGCGTCGCTACCGCAATTCGCTTTCTCGTGCCTTCTGAATGAGACTGACAGGCTGGTCCCGCCTGATGCCAACTCGGCTACATGCACCACTACCTCGATTCCTTTCGATTTCTTCTGTGGGCCTTGTCGTTCCTGCTTGCTACGGACAGTGCATTGGATTCATCTAAGGTGTAGGCTGAGCTGAGGAAAGAGCACGATGCCCCTCGCTACGGACTGCCTCGGATTTCTAGGGGTTTCCTTTCTCCCTGTACTTGAAGGACTGACAGGGCAGCGGAGGAGAGGCACGGGAAGACGAACTTACCGCCGGGCCGTGAGAGACTTTCTTGGCCTCGTTCTGCTGGTGTATACCTCCTTGACTTTCTGCCTCCGCATGTCTGACACTACTGAATCCAAGGGAACGCTACGCCCTTCAGAACACTCGCTTCTACAACAGGTGGAAATCGGTGAGCGATCGAACGTATGAGACTCTGAGATTCTTTGCTTTGTTCTGCCTCAAACCCATATTAGTGCTTCCGTCACCAGACAGATATGATGCAGCCGATGTGGACGGTTTTAAGTGTTTTTGTTGACTTTTGAGTTGCACACATTGAACTTCCCCCTGCGCCTTTGTGTATGTTTCATTGCTTTTTGCATTCAATTTGTTGGTTTTGGGGTGCGTGCTTATTTGATATGTATTGCTTATCTGTCTCCTGGTCTGCCTATCTGTCTAGGCTTCCATGCTCTGTGGCCTACACCACTAGCCGGACCCGTGCTGCAGGATTTCCTGTGTTGCGCCACCTTCTTCTTACCCCCTCCCGCATCGCGTTGTATTTCTCTGTCTGTGCAGTACCTCTGCTGGCCTTTAAGTCCGTGTTTCTTTACACATTGGTTATGCCGTGGGGTTTGTGTTATGTGAATCCTTCCTTTTATGGTTGTTGTTTGTTCTGTTCGTAGATAGAGAACCTGGACGCGAAAAATGGTTTATGCCTTTCATCATTTTGCTGGCGATCCTGTTGGCGGCCGCTATTGTTGCCCTCTGTGTGCACTGCCTTAACGTCCGGTAATTCTAACAACCAGGCACAGACCCACTATGCCAGACTACAGAGTATCCAGCTTTGTCCATCTTGAAGCCTTACCTGTACTTCTCCGAACATTAACCCTAATACAGCCCAGTGGATACCCCCTACGCAAATTTGAGAATTCAACACCTGTTTCTATGGTCTCTGACGCCGCTTGATGCATGTGCTCCATTATCTTGTGCTTGGGGGCTCTGTACACAGTTCTTTGCGCAAGAGAGAGGCGATTAAGGCGCAACAAGCGGCACCCGAGATTTTTCATAGTTCAGACACCGAGGCCCCAACCCCCAGGGAGAGGAGAGGCATCTGGGAACCTGCGTGAGGATCAGATAAAGAGGCAACTAATATAATGATAAAACGAAACACGATGCAGAATAAAATGTGTGAAGAGAATGAATTAGACACTCAGATAGACGAGCAATCTACTTACTGTCCTTACTCCTGCTGACTGACCGTGGCTACTAGGACTCGAAAAAGAATTGTCTGTGCATGCTTAGTTTGCAGAAGGTGTGTTGCAGTTTCTGAAAATCTGTGCTCCTGCCCATTTCTGTGACTTCTGGCGTGCATCTGCCTCCTTGCACAGCAATAAAGGACTACAGCAAGCAGAAGCTAGTAAGAATTAAGAAGCAAGAGTAGCAACAGGGTAGACGTCTCTGGGCTCTCTACGTTTGATATCCACATTGTGCAGTGCTTTCCATTCCCCGTCACTTCCGTGGCGTACTTCTGTTTCCTGCTTTGTTACACTTTATTCTTCACTCTTCATTGTCATATCTGACTGTGGAAGAGTGTGTGTGTCTTTTGTTTTCTTGTGCGTGTTATTTAACTCTCTGGCTGACTACTTTGCTCATGAATTACGACAGACGCTTTCCTATTTTGCTTGCAGGCGGACTTCAAGTGCCCGATAATGCGTACTGACTTCATCCCTCCTGCCCTCACTGTTCATGCTGATCTGCTCCCCGCCTTGCCCCTTTTTAAGCTTTTTTTCTCACCGGTATATGTCCACAGGTCTCCCTGTCCTCTTTGTCTTAGGCGGGTCTTCTTCAGAAAAGCTGCTGCGCAATTAGTGGCTGCCTTCTTTTCTCGTTAAGGCATGGCATTTCTTCTTTTTCTCGCTTTTGTCATTCTAGCGTAGCGAACAGTTGGTCTCGGTTTTATCGACCCTTGTAACCCCCCTCGATTGCTTTGTTGCTCGGTCTTTATCGTTCCCAATATTCTGACTGTTCTATTTATTCATCTAGTGCGTTGTTTCGTGGCATTTCTCCTTGCCAGTTTTTTCGGTTGCCTCCCTCTCGCCCCCCTTGGCACCTGCCACTGTTTCGGTTGGAACAGCACATGCCCATCCTTCGGTGGGAGCTGTGACAAAATTTTCAATTAGTTGATGCACATCACTCTTATACATTGCATGATTATATCGTTTCCTTATCATTATACATATATAAATTGTGCTGTTCCTCTCTAAAACCCGCACCAATGAGGCTTCTCTCCGCATGCATCTTGTATACCAGCACAGCCGCAGCCAACATTTTTCAATGGACCGTGCTCTTCATCTTCAAGTTTTCTTCATGTTGGACCATTATTCAGTCTTTTTGTGTTTCGGATCGACTGATGAAGCTCTTACTCGTGCCTTTTCGCGGACCTCATCTGCTCCTGCAACACCGATACAGCATGAGACACACGGCGGTTACTAGTTTATGAGGGCAGCGCTGACAACTGCTCCACGAGAATGCTCGCCACTTAAGAGCTTTTCAGCACGTTTTTGCTGCAGCAACACAAACAGCAAAATCACGGAAGCAGTAGCAACAGTGCCTACTGCGCTGTTTGAGAAGTTTACAGGCCCACACTGGAAGGGGCTACAGACGAACTGAAGCATCTAGGGTATTGCATTCTGAGTCTGCTCAAGACCAAGAAAACGTTGAGGTGGCAGCTCTGCGGTCTCGCGCGATGAGCATAACAGGGACTAAGGAAGATGCAGGGGGACACACAGGGCGGGGTTGAGGCGGACAGTGGAGGCTGCAGCAGCCATGCTTTCATCAAAAACGATGGCGGTGGTGTGTCTGTGGAGGACCATCCTCTTTTCATTAATCGAGTTCCATCCGAGAAAGACTTCAGGGACAATCCCTTGCTTTCAGCGTTAGCTGCGCTAATTGATGAAGACGAAGAAACGCAACCCGAGCACCAAGGGCCCCAAAGGCGGCAGCGGCGTAAAATTCGCTCCTCACCTTGGACCTCGAAAAGGCGAAATGCAAACGCAATAGATCCCGCTCCAACTGATAGGGGGCCCGGCGAAAGTGTCCGTGAAGTCGGAGGGCATAGGGCCGGTAGCTACTCAGCGGTTGAGCCCCTAGGCAGCAGTTCGTGTGTCTCTGATCCTTCTGCTGGCCGTGGAGGCCAGAGAGAGGAGGGTAGGGAGTCTGACAAGGGACGGCAGGAGTTGCGCGTTCCCCATCAGCAGCAGTACGAGGGGCGTGGGGATATGCAACCGCAGCAGCAGCCCGCAGGTGCATCCCTTGGGGAGCTGCAGATTTGCATGCGGTTGTTTTCATTGAAATAATGGCACTACCTGCCCTTTGAATGCGTCGCCGCGTCATGGTCGCTTTTACTGCCGAAGAAGATGGGAGCGAAACAGGACGGTTCAATATGTTCCAGTGTCGGTAGCTCCTATTTCTTACGGACCGGGCGGGAAAAGCAGACTTTTGCATACTACCTTCTTTGTCCTCAGATTGTGTTCAGCAGAACGGATGCCTCTGCAGCCACATGTAGCTGTTTGACGGCCTAGACAGAAATGTACCTGTTTTCGCAAATGGCAGAAATATGTAGGGAACGCGGCACCGGAGGATGGGGAAGGCCTTGATTTCCCTAACTTTTTTCTTTGACCTCCACAAGCTGCAAATGGCAAGTTATGCTGCGTTTTTTGTTCTGTTTGCCTGGAATAGAGATCGATGGTGCAGCCCAGTCGAGTGCTGCTCGCAGTAACACATTGATCCTTATTTATTGAAGGCAAACCGGCCACTTCGTTCATGTGTGCTAGTTGACTGTAATGAAGGGGCCAAGAGTCTATCATTCACAGGGCCCGTTGGGCGAAAACGCCCTCTCTAGCTAGCTTATTTTTCTCCCTAGCGCTGTTCGCCTCGATAGCTGCAAGCCAAGCTTCACAAAAGGCTGCTGTTGCTGAATGGTTAGAATTTGCCATTTGAGGCCCGACAAACAGATTTACAGCAGTAGCTAGGGGGGATCAAGGGTGAAGGCATGTGCTCTACCATCTCTCATGGTGACAGAGAAATGGAGTTGAAGGCAACCGAGAGAGATGAAGCCACAAATAATACAACTTGTTTCTGGGGAGAGTAAACTTTAATCTGAAGCTGGATTTTGCCTCCGAGGTGTTCTGACGCATGAGGCACGCGGTTACTAGTGTCCACGTCGGCCCCCAAACCGGTAGTTGTCTCCTCGTAGGTACTGCATTTTACGAAGCCTTCAACACTACGCTTTCAACAAAGCATGGGAGGGGGAAAAGAAAGACCCCCGGCCGCTCTGGCTGAGGATGATAAAGGGAGCTCGACTCTAACATGTCAGATAGCGTGGGAGACTCAACCTCCAACATGAAATGGCACCTTCCTGCTTTCAACTGTCTGTCGGCATGAAACACGTGCGGTATGTGAAAACAGAATAGCCTAAGTTGAGGGACGAGGCTACTTGCTGCCTGGCTGAGGGAGAGGCTCACCTTGAGGGAACCTTTTTAAACCCTCAGCAGAGAAGTCCGCTTGGTGTGCAAGGGTTATGCGGTGGAAATGCATATAGGGAAGATAAAACTCCGGCTCCTCCTTCGAGAGCTGGCCGAGGACTTCGCAAGAAAAAGGATCTAAATCTGCAAATCGGCCTGCAGCAGGTGGAGTAGGCAGAGGCGGCAGGGTCGGCTCACCCCCATGGCATACGCACATGCCACTTAAGAAAGCTCTGTAATCTGTACTTCCATCACATTCCTGCCTGTGAGGCTCCCTGGGCTGCTGCTGCGGTTGCGCCGCGTAGCAGCTTGTTGCAGCGTCCCTCCTGTGACGCTCCACCTCCTCGCTACCAAAAACCAAGGTGTCTATCAATGCGTTGAGGGAGTCAATTATTATATTTCCTGTTGCAGTGGTGGGAGCGGGGGCTGTTTCTTTGTATTCTCTCAGTTCGACCTTACGTGGTCTCAGGGTGGCTCCCTGCTGGACCAGGAAAGGTGGTTCCCCCACCCGAGTTCCCTCCTCCATATGAAGGGCATCACTCATTTCCAAGATATATGGCTGTAGTTAGGAGTTGTCAGATAAGGGGTGGTGTGTGAGCGGCTGTGCCAAGGAAATGACCAGTGGTTTGCTCTTCTCAGAAGAAATACAGCGAAGTATCCGATGGGTGGAAGGGCTCATCACAGGACAAGAGGCCCCTACAGGCCCTAATTCTACGGCAGCTTGACGAGTGCCTGCAGCACTGCATGAGTTGGGCGGAGCCACTGAACGCAGAGCGGTCTACGCAAAGTAGCAATGAACGGTGCACGGGCATCGAGAGGAAGTAAAAGTTGTGGAATACAGCACAAGTCCGAGCTCATTTAAAAATCATAGCGGCAAACTGAAGTCTTACTTACAAGTGCAGGATGAAGATAAATTAATGTTCTGGCAATATGAGGGGTAGGCAATGCCTTCCGGCTAGTCTTCCGCCTCGTGCAGTCGAGTGACAGACGCGCCACCGTTGAGCGACATCATACAACGTCTGCAGATACCCTGAGTATTCCGTTTGTCATTCGATGTATAATTGCCGTTAGATGAGTGAGGCATTTGCTCATTTCGTGGTAACTGCTGCTGAAGGTGTAAAGGGGCGATCACACTTGCGGATCGTGTTGTTTTGGCAGCAGAAACGCATTATCCCAAGAAGTTTTTAACCAACTCACATCATAGCTTGTTATAAACGGATTTTATCTGCCCATTAAAGCTCTTAGCTAGTGGGCTTGCCTGCAAAAACCGAGAACTTTTGGAGTTCGACACTGTGTCAATTCGCGCATCTCATGATGCTTTCAATTTAGTGCCAAAAATGCGCGAGACGAGGGGATGTGCGTCATCTGAGGAGCCAAAGGGCAGGCATCTAGGAGTGTAAATCCTTGGAGTCGCCAAAGCATTCAAACTTTGTGAAACTTTGGGGCTACCCACTGACAAAAACAAGTTGGGTTGAAGAAAGGATCCAACTCCATGAAGAAAAACACATAATGGTGAAAATTGATCCCAAAGATGAGCTTTGTAGTGGCAGACAAGCACCTTTTTAATGGTGGACTTGAAAACCTAGAATCGACATAATATCATCAGCTACTTCTCAAAATATTTTAATCCAAAGAAGGCTCTTGAACACGTATGGCTGAGACTTTCAATTATTGCGAACTACACAGCTGCCAAAAGTTCTAAGATCAGAGTGGTTCTCCTTCGCACGCAATGATGATATGTTTTGGGCGAGTTTATCTCTAATGAAGCGCAGTTTCCTGCATGCTTTTTCGCGAGGAGTTATGCTCTCTGTTTTCGATGCTATACCAACATATCAAACTTGATATGGGAGCTAGCGACGAGATGACCCGATATGTAAAGCTAGCTAAAACATGCTCAAGTACAAGTTCACGAAGAATACAATACCACACACGAATTCCTCGAATGCAGATAATAGGTCTATTATACAAGACCCGAGAGCTTAATAAACGTGGCACTAGGCGTGTACGAGTATCTATTGCAATTATCTGACTGGCATGAATGTTCTCCTCAATTCCAGGTGGCTGCATATACAGTTGAAACTGGCTGAGGCGGGGAGCCGTGGAGAATTTATTGATTCTTATTGACAGACCATAACATTGGTCAGTGAGTACCTGTACATTATTGCATTCAAATAATTATTTCCTGATATATGCCCTTGAGTAAACATGGAAGGTCATTTTCACTTTAGAGCGAATTTTCAACCCCCCTGGCAAAAGCGGATAGATTCCTATAAGACTGGAAAACTGACACTAGAGAGTCGTAGCCCTGTTGGAATGAAGCGCGCATTCACAACTACGGCCACTGACCAAGGCAACAATCCACGAACTGACGCCCCGAAGCTTCGAGAGGATATGTGTGAATCGAAAGAAACCAGTGCTAACACCGCTCAAATAGTCACGTCGTCTTGCTACAAAGAAGAAAGCATGCAACATTACTCAGCTCCAAAGCTACCCGCTTGCTATGCCATCAGCTTTGCAAACAAAAACCAGCCTCAGGTCACCCCTTATAAGGTTCTGTACTGCAAACGCTCCCTGAAAAAGCACAAGACATACCAGTACGTGCATTGTCAGTTCCTTCTTCGTATCTGCAGCCAAACCAGCCGCAACTGTTAGTGACGGGATACTGCTCTCAAAGCCTCTCCATTCAATTCTTCTGAATGATTGGGTAAACAAAAAGCTCAGTCAAAATCGCAGAAATACTGCAACAGAAATATTTTGGATTCCAGGGCGCACCTGTTACGAAATCTCAGTTGCGGATATCAGCAGCTCCGCCATACAAAGATTCAGACACTTTTAGTGAGTCCCATTGTGTTTGCTGGTGGCGACAAATACCCCAGCATCTCTTCTTGAACGTGTTGGCAGCTATTGGGGGATTTCAAGGAGAAATATGCAGCTCCCCTCTTGCGCCGGAGGACTTTGTCAGTGGCCGTTGTTTTCTTCAACCCTCCGCAAGAACGATGAATGCGGAGGCCTTAGCTTTGTCGACACCTCGCAGAACAAGTGGTACCCAGGTTCCTGGGTTTTGCCAGCAAGGCCAAACCCCAAGCTGCGAAAACGAGCCCGTAGATGCTCGCGTGGGAGAAGGGGGTGCGAGCGTTCTTTTCTATGAACACTATGATTCTGGGCCTAACGACTGGCAATGTGAAGCGCCACGGAAAGCATCTGAGGGGAGCAACGCTGTTGCATCCAGCGGGCTTGTGCCACTAGGTGAAGACTTTATCGACAAAAAACTCAGACCCCACCAAAAGATGGGACTTCACTGGATGCACTCTCGCATTGCAGCTGGTGGGGGTTGCATTCTAGCAGATACGATGGGCTTGGGGAAGACTCTGCAGGCCCTGGCTCTTCTATGGTCTCTGCTAAGGGAACATGTCGTGCAACACAATGCTGCTCCTTTCAAAACTCTCATTGTCTGCCCCACGAGCTTGAAAACGAACTGGAGGACGGGTCTGTCTGCCATTCATGAACCATTTTGCACATGCACATCCAGGAATGCACATATGCAGAGTTCAAAAAATGGCTTGGAAACAGAATCGATCCCTTGGTAGCATGTGGTGATATTCGGCAGGTCTCTGAAGTGATCCAGACCTTTACCTGTTCAAAACGAGATCAAACATTGATTGCCTCGTATGATGACATCCGGTAGGCCTTGCAGCACATCGCAAAAACACTGTTTAAGGGGGCTTTTATCCGCTTAAACTTGTTTCACAGAAGAGTGGACGTTCCCTGCAGCATTGAATTTTTGGTGTGCGACGAGGGGCATCGGCTACGCTCTTTGCGATCTCAGACCTACATGCAGCTACAAAAGATACGCAGTCGACGCCGTTTACTGCTTTCAGGTAATCGTGAACCCACAAAAGCCCAGCCGTCGTGTCATATGGACAGTCTTTTAGGAACACCTCTCCAAAACAATCTGGTAAAAAATAATACTACTCTGGTTCAGTTCAGCAGCAGACCTGTCCCTCCCATTCTTAGGAAGAGTTGTACAGCTGTTGCCATTTTGTTTGCCCAGGGACTTTGCCGAACGAAAAAACCTTCAAAAAAGTATTTCTTGAGCCAATTATCCGAGGCTGTCGGCCTGAGGCTACGGAAACTGAAGTTATTATTGGTTTGCACCGTACAAATTGGGGGAATGGTGAGAGTTCTGCTTAATACAGCTTTATTGCAGCAAGGCAGAGGGAAGCGGAGCTGATGAGCAACATTGTACGACACATCAAATGCACAGAGTTTTACACAGCGTTCGTGACTAGATGCAACTCTATTTTTCTCAGTCTCATTTCATGTTAAGGAGAACGTCTGAGGTATTGGAGCAACTGCGTGAGTTTGCCATTCAGGTTTCTTGTTATGCAAAAGTTCAGGACCACTTTTAGTCCCCCGGAAACGTGTGGTGACTGTGCATGTAGAGCTGTCCCCAATGCACAAGCTTGCTTACAATGACTTCTGCAAGGAATGCCTTACGCGCCTGGAAGTAGCAAAGACGGACTGCCTTGGCATACTGACGACTTTGCGGTATGACAAAGTGTCACAAGGGCCGACCGTGAAAGCGTGTCAACCTGGCTGCCTTTTCCAGCCGCCTTGTGAACGTTCCGGAGATGTTCGTGACTGATCAATTCGCCTCTCGTGAACTTCTTAAAAATGGAATTCAAGACGAAGAAGACGCAGAGCTTAGTGAGCAGAACATAGCTCTAAGAGGCATTCTACAACCGTCAACCCATCCTGGGTACGCGAGCTCAAGCGCATCTCCCTTGTACTATCTCTAATAGGCTTTTAGCCTACAGAAGCAGTCCAATAAGATGGCTGTCTTGATGCATATTCTCTATAAACTTCAAGAGGACCTGCCTGGAAAGGTAGTGCACCTAGATAGCCCACATTGGCCTTCGAAAGCTCCACCTGCTATTTATTCAGGCGGTTATTGTGAGTAATTCGACAGCGGTCCTGGACAAAGTGGAGTCGCTGATAAAAAAGGAAACGTGGTCGTTTCTGCGTCTTGACGGCTCTACACCACAGCCTCTAAGGGGAAGCATAGTCGATAAATTCAACACGGATTTAGTTACCCGGGTGTTTTTGCTGTCTTCTAAGGCAGGTGGAACTGGTCTCAATCTTACAGGGGCAAATCGCTTGATTCATATGGATCCTGACTGGTAAGACATAGGTTATGTACTCCCATAGATACAGGCATACGCAACGTGCTGCTTAGGAACCCCGCCAACGACCAGCAGGTGTCCAAAACAGCACCTAGCGCAAGAGCGCTCAATTTCAGTTAATTTTTGCCATTAGGCTTTGGCGCGAATCTGGAGGGATGGGCAAGTGATGCCAGTTTACATATACAGATTTGTCGGGGCGGAGACGGTTGAGGTGCAGATCATGAAACGGCAGTTGTTTAAAAGTTCACTGGCAAAGGTAACGAATGGATGCCACCTTTTTTCATAGCTGGCGGGACAAGGAGCCGCACAGACGTTTGTGGATGGAAAGGGAGGAACCAAAGGGCAGTGGCTAGCTGGACACTTAGCTGACCTGCTCAGACCAATTGGAGGTACACTTGCTACACATGCTTGTTCAGTACCCACTTATTATATAGCCCCTCAGAATTTGTCAGCAATGCGGATGATAACAGCAAGCTTATAGGGGCTTTTACTCCAGGAAGTGGCACTCTTCCCGTGTGGCTAGATGGCTTTCATCTTTCCTGGGACGTGCCGATTATCAGAAGAATTGAACTGGAGGTAACCGGGCTTGTTCCTACCATCCTGGCTTTCGCACTCAATATGATGCTAGGAGGATACTCAGTGCATCAATGCTGACTCAGCGAAATGATATAAAGCACATTTTTCCTACCTGCTCCCCAGTTTTTCTCGAATGTTTGCAACAGCAATCGCTGCGGCGATTACCTAAAACTGGTAGACCAACCGGTTTCATTACTGTATTGTCAAAAAGGATACGTTTCTAGTGTGACCTTTTGCACTTTAAAGGAGTTAGTACGGATGGCTTTATCGGCGCCACTCTTAATGGCAGTCGACTCAGCTAGACTTTGACGGGCCACCGTCCCTTTCTGGTAATAACACTAGAAGGCGCCTCAGGCTTCACCATCCTTAGAGAAGCTGATGGTCATCATCTCTAGGGTCATGGTAGCACTCAAGCTGGAAAGGAGTTGCTGCAGCAACACTGTTCATGTCGAAGATCTTGGCAGCATGCGCAGAGCCACGTGGCGTCAAGGCCTGCCAAAAGTCGGCAAGCACATGGAAATGCCTCTGGCCCATCTATGCGACTATTTGCTGAAGTTACAGCTTGCTATGGTCCCCATTTCTAAGGATGCCAATCGCTGCTTACGCGTTGTTTCGAAAGATCCTTCACGAGATATCAGGGAGGTCGCTTGTTTCGCTAGTCGGAGCCAGTTCTTCTATTTTCTGCTTCAGCAGAGGCGCATTAGCCCCAGTAATGCTTTCGAGAACAGCCCCATTTTTATAGAGAAGAAATTTTGGAATTGAGGTGGCACCAGGTGTGGCGAGTTCAGGCACAAGAGCTGCATCAGCTGTCAAATAGCAACACCTGTCCGAGAAGTTGTCCATTGAGTCTGCAAGAGCTTTGACGGTGGGTATCACCGCGTTGCAGGGCCCGCACCATGCGGAGTAGACGTCGACGATAAACAATCTGGGATCATTGGGGGACTTAACCACCTCTTTGAAATGAAGCTCGTCAGCAATTTGGATTCGTTCCAGTCTATCCGCCATTTGGAACTAAAAACTGCAAAATATATACAGAAGCTCTCAAGATGTCTGGACCCCCCGAGCAAACATGGGGTAGCTGAAAGTACCCACAGATCTCCGTTCTGCCCTGCACTTTGAGGGATGTCTTTAGAACCGTAGAATCAGGCTTGAATCATGACGGAAAACTCTTGTTTCTTTGCGAAAATACAAATAAACCACCCTCCAGCGCTCCGAACAAGCGCCTAGTTGAGCCTCGGTGCGTCTGCCCTCTAGCAGGTGACCTCAAGCCCCTACTGCTCTTTGCCATATCCATCTTCCTCCACAAAAGCGTCCCTTTAGTCGCTTAAGTTATGCCCCATGCTATAATATTCACTCTCAATCAGCCACGACGGCCAACACATTTCCCTGTCCCTCCGCAGATGTCAATTTTCATTGTGGAGGGGCGATGCGACTGTGCGCGACTCGCGCGCTGTCAGTTGCTGTCTGAAAGACTCTCGGCGCTTATCCCCTCGGTTTCAGTAAAATTTTACCTCTTTGAGCCTGAAGCGTACCTTGAGCGACTCAAATGCATTGCGCGGAGCTTCCCTTCCTGCGGTTAGTCGCCATCCCTGCCTACACACAGAGCTATTCAGTGTTTGTCCCCTAATGTTTTTGAGCATTAAGGACAAGACTCAAAGGCAGCACGTCTTGTTCCTAGCCACGATATACATGGGGAAAAGGCGCACAGATGAGGGATCCACAACCCCGAAGGGAAAATACCTTGGGCGTGTGTGCAGACCAAACAGATAATTCAGGCGCGCCAGTAATATATACGGCTGACGGACAATTTTTGGGGGACGATAAAGCTTTCATCCGTTTTGTGACAGATAAATACAAAATAGAGGAGGCAGAGCCTGACCTAGAGGGTGATGCGATGCAAGTGGCCTTGCAAGGTTCAGTCGATTTCAACACTGCAGAACTGCGCCGCAAAAAACATTTGCAGTCCAACGGAATGCCTATAAAAGATCAGGCAGAGGCGATTACTGAGGCACTCGCTGCCGCCTCGCTTATGAAGCCAATTTTACCAGTTCACGCGCCTTTACAAGACGGGGGTGACCCACCGCAGACAGGGTGCCTTCAGCGAGAAAAAGGTACCCCTGTTCATGGCTTCAAGCTGATACCCGACATTCGTTTTGCGCAGGCTGTAGATGGCGGCTCTCACTTTACCGTTTGGAGCTCTGTTTTTTCTCACAAGAGGAGTAAAATAGGCAGCAACTGTGTACAGAAGCAGAGTGAAATGGTGCCGGGGAGCTTGCTCCTAGACGCAACTATCCCTCTAGGCTCTGTTGGGAGTGCCTGCGAATTCCGCCTGCTGGTGCACGATGAGCCTCTGTCCCGAAACCAAATGGCCCTTGTGCCTTGCAAGTGTCTTCGCCAGACGCTTCGGCTTTGCAAACCACAAATAAAAGTGATTGCTCTTGTTGCTGGTAACTACCCCGACCCTTTGGCAGTGGCCGCACAGTGTACATTGGCCGACGCATTTAGCCCCCAAGAGGGGCATACGAAGATTTTGTCGGTGGTCACGCTGTGTTTTCATTATGCCACAGAGCCGCAGTTGGAGACCCTCCTATGTGACGTCGCGATCAGGTGCCAGAATATGTCTAAAACTGTGTCATGGTTCTTTCGAGATGAGCTGTTAGGCGACTCTCTCCCTGATGGTATACACAAATTGCAAGCCGGAAAGCTGCTGAGTGAGATGCACCATTGCGACAGATAGGCTGAGAATCTGGCTAAGGCCTATGTACCCCGCAATCTCCGAAGTTGATTGAGGTGCATGCGTGATCTCGAGACAGAAGAGCCGCATAAACTACGAGGCCTTTTAAAGACCCTCCCTGCAGAGTGTCTGGTTTTCTGCGGCTTCCCTTCCTGCCTTGTAAGGCGTTACTCGTTTCTGTAACCGCTTCTCCTGTTTGAAATTATCCCTTTCTTATTCCTCGCGTTTATGTTCTAGTTACAACTATGAATCACCGGGGTAACTCTCTGCAGTACTGATATTCGCATGTGCCTCTACGCTGCATACGAGTATACACAACTGGCAACCATGGTGGTTGTGCTTGTATACTACGGTCGGGGAAGAGATCGAGGCAATGAAAGCTGGATGAAAGCAAACAGGATATTCAGTGCTGGAGCGGACCGCAGGAAGAGAGTCAGGCTCTGCAGGTGGCAGAACTCACCGTGGATATATGTCTTATCCTCGGAGACTTTGATAAGATTCTAGAAGGGACGAAACAGGCCCTCATTGCTCTTGGATGCTTGGCAAGACAGCTTCAGATAGACACCCTAGACCTTGCGCAGGTAAACAACCTCTGCCACCATGGTACACCACGCGATGATGAATACGATGGAATTTTCCCTCAGCTGGAGAACAGCCACTAAACGTACTCTCGCCGTACAAAATGTAAATACTTGTGACTAAGTCCTCCCTCCAGAGGAAGTAGTTATAGAGGTAACGAGCTGGGACTTGCTATAGTTTGAATTTTTCTAAAGAAGCAAGGCAGGCGGCTGCCCTTTTGACGCGATGCTTTCGCAGTAGCATGAGTGCTCTATTGTGAAGCCGATGGTAATTCGCGGTTTCGCGCTGGCTTATGTGCAGATCGCCGCTGCTGTCAGCGGTGAAGTGCAGGACTGCCTTTCGCAAACACATGAAGGACACAATCTGCAGGTCTTCAGGCGTCATGACAAGCGGCTACCTAGGACTCCTGACACACGAGACTGGTGCTCAAGAAAAGATTAAGCCCTTACCTGCCATCACCCTATCTTAACGCCTAGGTCCTAGTCACTGCAAATGCTGCACAGAGAGCCATGGGAAGTCTCCAGAGGATGTGCTGCTACACAGGGCGGCAGTTAACGAAGTGTTAGGGGCCTTGCAAGGCCTCGTGACTTTCCAACTATATCCTTCAAACTGGCCAGACACACGCAGGCCCCTCGACACCCACTTCCAGGTTATAAAATGAGACACTGAGACACTGCTTGCAATTTTACCATCCCCCGCAAATACCCAACTATAAATAAACGAGACTTTCCAAAATACGAGTTTAGATTTGGGTCTGGAAGAACAGACGCAGCGTGGTGCTATCCCCTCATAGGCCAGTCTTTCTAGTAAATTTCAAGTTTTTCTGGTTTGGCCTCAGCTGTTTCCCTTTCCTGTGGGGACAACAGAAGCAGACTGCCCAGTGCGAGAGTTCAGATTCGAGTATCTAATCAGGAAAGCCCTCGATAAAGAGACCCGTCAGTCATGTGCAACACTATACTTTCCCTCGTTCCACCTGTCTTGCTCATGGAGAAGCAGCCGCGCTCACCGCTTAGCACAAATATTTTATATCTAGTCAAGTGTGATTGAGCCAAATGCAAAACTACATCCCGTTACGAGGTACTTGGTGGTGACAAATTGACAGGGACTCAGAGAGGCAGGAAAGAACACGACAATAGGAGAAACGGATGACAGGCTACTGGCGCTGTACAAAAGGTGGGGGCTTTTCTGTGCCTGTCTTCAGCTTTTGTGAGGGAGCTGCCATTTCTTCATTGTCTTGTCCGCGTTCGATCAAAAGACCCCTCGGCTAACGGTTTGGACGGCCCTCCTTCGGGGGACCACAAGGACAGCGACTCCCTAAATTTTGCCAAAGCTTATGCGCAAGCCATCCATGTGGGTGTAGCACACTAAAAACACGCTGCGATGCTTCAAGGTTGATCGTTGAAGCACTTTAGAAGTAGCTATTGCAGCAAGGGCCTTTGGAGCTTTGTTAGGGATGCCTGCCTGGCAGTGGCGGCAAAAGTTCGTGGGAGGGGGACTCATGAGGCTTTGGTCATCTTGCCAACTGTCGCGTGAAGTAGTCCTCTTGTAGATCATTGCACAATTCCAACAATAACAAATGCTCAACTCCCGTTCACTACATAAATGGGTGTGCTGTCTGTTGCGTGCGTGCGTTTCATGGGAGCTCTGTTGTTCCGCATGCATGCTGTCGCTGCAGATAATAAATGCAATACCAGATCACTCCGTAGATTTGAGTACCGCGGCCCAGAGCCTGGTGCTAGGCCCCAACTTTCTCCTCCTGGTGCCCCATCCCTCCCTCTCTACAAAACACACACATATCCTGGATGATAGGTGCTCATTGCTTCATGCAGTATGGAGAGAATGGCCGCTGCCGCATCCCTTGGGCTTTGCGGGGGGTCCCATCCTCTTACCCAGTTCGCGCAAGGCTTGGATGGACGACGAGGACCCCCGTAAAACGCAGGCAGTGGCCTTCCTTCCTGTAGATGTAGTCAAGGAAGACAACGAGGAATTGGCAATCGTTGAAGGAGCAACGGACAAACCACTAGCAATTCTCGCGCTCTCCTGCTGCTGCTGGCAACAACCAGCCTCACAAATGCAGCATGCAATGCCATAAATTCCCACACATGTTGCTAGCATTGTTGTCCGGCTGCTGTGGGACCTAAAAGGGTGCAGAGTGATCTGGGGCATGCCCCCATGGAGTCGGAAAATATTATAGTAGTGCCAAGTTTTGGCTATTTGATACTAAGTGTCGAGGACAGATCTGGCAGCCCTATGGGCGCCCATCTCTTTTAAGCATAAAGAACCAATTCAAACAGAGATTAAACATTTAAAACTATTTTGTTCGCAGCCAAATCAGCTACACACTAAACCACAAATGTTCATATAGAACGTCGGCTAGTGACTGCCTCTTGTCACACCCCAAAGTAGGAGCGCACAAAAGGCCTCCTATGAACTCGACCCAACGGCTGTTTATCTGTGCAAGTCATTCTACAATCCTCTCTCCCTGCGCCTCTTTCGCCTCCTGTTTTTGCCTCTACGACGCTTTGTTCCCATCCTTAGCGCCTTCTTATTCGAGTGCGTTGGCCCCTGAGATGATCTCCACAAGCTCTGTGGTGATCTTAGCCTGCCTCGCGCGATTGTACTTGAGGGTCAAAGCCGATATCATCTCCCCGGCGTTCGTGGAAGCATTGTCCATAGCGCTCATTCGCGCAGACTGAATGCATTGAACAATACCACCAAACAGCAGCAAACAAAAGAAAAGCATACCACGAGATCGAGTCACATGGTACTGCATACAACTGTGTACAGCCTACGCTGATCTTCATCATACAACAAATTCTAGGGGCTGCCGTAAGAGTAGTTTCAGCTGGTGGATACCAGCTGCTGCTCCATTCAGCGAAGCCCTAGTTTACCCTGGGGCAATACACGGTTCACAAATATGAACCCAATCCTCAGTGCGACACATGTAGTCTTTAAATTCCGGTTTCGCCATGGAAATACCCTCAACTAGTTCATCAGCGAGCCACATGCAGCGGTGGTTGCACACTGTTCCTACCTGTTCCGACGCGATGTTATCCAGCATGCAACCGTACACGGTGCAGGCCGAGTAAAAGTCATGGAGGTCCTTCCACAATTCAGGCAGCTCCGGCTCAGCCTCAAAGAGTGCGAGTTCTTGTTTGGCACTTTTTGCCGCCTGCTGATTTGTAAGAACCTTAAGGGAGATGGTGTCGTAGGCCACAGCAGAGCGGAAGTGGTTGTACACCACAATCAGTCGCGACGGATCATCCTGAGGAGTTATAGCATTAAGCGATACAAATTATGTGTGCGCGATACTGGAATGACGTGACAGAGCAAAGGCAGAACGATAGGCACTCGCACAGCGGATAGCGGGGGCACGAGGACGGGGGCAAAACAGGGAGGACGCGCCAAAGCAGATAGAGAAAATGCAGGCTGAACGAGGTTTTCCAGCGAGAAAAATATAAACAACAAATGTCACAACAACAGGCATCCGGACCCATACACAAAGGAAGTCCGAGACAGGCGGTGAGAAGGGGAGTCCGTTCAGATGCCATCTTGAATGGTAGGAACAGCTAGTAGATGGTGCCGTGGTTCATCATTGCGTTGAACAACTCAACAGAATTATCATGTCGGTTGTGCTGAAGCTTCACCCCTGAAAACCGTTCCTCTTTTTACCTTTTGTCTGATAAAACCTCACCTTGATAATCCGGTCGGCGATGACTGCCGCAGTGGCAAAGTTCCACGGGAAACGTGTGGCCTCTGTCAACATCCTGCTAAATCTGTCACCGAATACGCGCTGCAGGGCGGAGCGCACTTTGTCCCCAACGCCAATGATACACGTGCGCTGTCCTCCGCCCTCCGTTTCCTTCACGGTGTCTCGCACCAGCCGAGAAACCGCCGAATTTACGCCACCACAGAGGCCCTTATCTGCACTCAGACACAAAACAGGAGATGAACCATCTAGTTCACACGTTGACCCCGAAAGCCACACGCTCTATCTCAAATGGTAGAATGAACGAAACGTCATGACACCTACAGAATGATTGTAGGGGCCTTACCGGAGGTCAGGGCAAGGATAGTGAGGTCTGTCTTTTCCTCGGGAACGGGGATTCTGTTCACGATACGCTGCACCGCAAAATAAGGTAGATACACAAGCCTACTCTTAATCAGTGTGTTGCTCTTAACCCGCTAAGGTGTGTGCATGCCACAGTTAACGTATAGCTGAGCACGTCTAGAACCCCTACCTGAACCGGAACGGCAAAGGGCATTCCATTTTCAAGACGTTTTTGATCCATCCGTAGTTTGGAAGCTGCAACCATTTTCATTGCTTTTGTGATCTGCAAGACGCGCTCGAACACTCGGAAAATCAGGTTTTTCGATTGCATTTTCGGAGTTAAAAGTGTTAAGTATCAACATCCCTTAATGGTTCTTCCTGCTCCCTTCAACACCCGTATACTCCCTGGTATCTATTTATTTTGAGGAAAATACGATTAGATAGCTGGGAGCTAGAATGCACGAGTGTTCTCACTTTTTGAATCGATTTGACAGACTTCATTCTGGCGGCGACTGTTTTCAGGTCCCCTGCGCCAAAAGCCCTCTGCTGCTGTAAGCACGGGGCCAAGCTCGGTACACCTCCCGTGGCAGCTCGAAAGGGCCCCTCAAATGGGATGGCTCCCATCAATGCTTGAGTGGGGGATGCAGCGATACCCCTTCGCCAAAGAGAAGCCATTTTTGGATGCTTCCGATACACACAGCGCAGTTAGGGTGTAGAAGCACTTCTGCTTGCCTCTGATAATAGTGGGCTAATGTTATGACCGATTAGAGGCGCCTCAAAGTTCTTCCCCGACAGCGTTTTCTGCAGGAACAGTGTCGACTGTTGCAGCAAAAAAACCAGCAGCCGGGTCGCCCCCAGTCTGTCGATACTCTGCTCCAATGAGCTAACGGATAGACAAAAGGCAAAGCAGATTCTGGGGGTCTCACCGCCGTCCTGAATTCTTTCAGCCAGCAAACAAGCCGTCTTTACTGTGCTCTGTCCCCCAGCCCCGACTCCTTGCATGCAGCAAGATACCGCGCAGGCTGCAGCCGATAGGATTACGAAATATCGATTATTTTACTCGTTAAGGAGCTCGTGTAAGTTTCTAAGAAAGGCGATAGTCTGTAAATTTTATCCCAAAGCGAAAAGGAAGCTAATCGTAAAACCGACACCCCGGGGGCCCCTGTCACCTCCTTGGCATATTTAGGGTTTAGGGAACTAAGGAATAGAAAGCCCATGCGTAGGTTATTACCTCTTACTTGCTTTCGTTTTGCGATATCCTTATTGTTGAGCAGATCTGAAAGAGAACACAAGATATGACAGCAAAGGAAGAGCCTTCTAGGTTCGCCGGACACAGACTTTCTGTAGAGGGCTTAGATTGTCAACTTAGGATCGCTCTTTATCCTGGGCCTCCATACAAGACAACCGGCCCCAAATCCAATACAAAATTTCACACAATCTCTTATGTCTGTTAAAAGCTCTATTTGTCTCCTGTCCCTGACCCCACAGCGTTTCTCATGCGCCTTCTGAGATCCAAGATCCCCGTAAGGAGACATGTAACTTTCGACCCACTACAAAATTCACATAGAGACGTTGAGTGACTCGCAAAAGAGCGCCTACTTGCCCTGATTCCTCTCCTCATACTTCGTGACATGAGGTGGAAGGAGCAGCGACTGCGCTATTCGCATTCACAGCTAGTTACGCATAGCATACAGCATATACGCACACGACATCGGGTCGAAATATTCGGCGGGATAAGGTAGACTTTGGCGCTTTCTATCATACTAGCTCAATTTAAGTTTTAAAATAAGAATGGAGTCGGCATATTGTTCTTTCCCTCGTCTACCACATTATTCGGAGCATTGTTTACTAGAAAAAAGAAGACACAATCCTACATACGCCCTGATGTTGTGTACCTGCACATCGAGACCGACTGCGTGCGAAACAATTCGGAGCTTTGCACCCTAACGGCACTACTCATTCAGGCATAAACGCAAACACGATGCAAATGATAAAAGCAAATGTGTATGCCAACCGATACGGTCAATTCGACGGGAAGAAAAGCATATATTAGCCAGCAGCGAGCCAGGGAAGAAACGAACACAACAACGGGGTAGTGACGGCTCGCTCCTCTTAAAGCGGTGAAGTTTGGGAGCCTCCTGTTACGAGAAAACACAAAATAAGCGAAGTGTACGGATAAGCTCAGAGTGCACACTGATTCAGCAGCACGCGCCCGTAGAGTACTCTCTGCATGCAAGTTCAGCCACTGCATGCAACGTGGTAATTTTTAAAACCCCAACACAGGCATGTGCGAAGTTATCGAGACAATATGCCTGAAAGTGCTGGCGCATAAATCTGAGTGCAGCGAAAGCCTTTGAGATAGTAAATGAGGACGTCCCACAGAGTATCCATCGATTAAGATAGCTTTCAGAGAATTTTAGCTTTGGATGGAAGCAGTTACCGAGATACAGAAGGAGTACCGTTTATGGTGACTGCCGTTGGTAGCCAAACAAAACCGCAATTTCTCCCATGGGTAAGGAAGCCCGCAACCGTTCCCCAACAAGCCACTGATGATGGCGTTTCCAACCCCTTTCCACTAAAGAGGTCGTTTTTAGTGTAGCCGCGACGCTCAACATAATCCTGCATCTAGCACCTGCACGCACTCCGATGAAACCCCCGCCTACAAGGGCCACTTGCCTGCCTAGCAAAGCCCACGTACGATTCGGGGAGTTTTGAACACTTTTATAGAGGCCAGTACTGATGGTCTTGTGACAGCTCCAGCATTAAAAAGTCGATAAAGTCTACACAAGCATTAATACGTGAGAGAACGGAAAAGATTTCTAGCCGCGTGGCCCCCAACTTCTTCGTCTGCTCTTCTTCTGGTGCATCTCTGGGGCCTGCCGATCCACCAGGACCAAATCTTCAGGCTCGAAACACACAGCTGACTCCCACTAATCGTAATTTCGTGCCTGCTATCTTTGTGCTGTGCGCACGCCTGCGTGTGGAGTACAGAATGCTCTTTAAATCTCCTTGCCACTAAGGAGGGCTGCTTAATTCGGACGGAAACGATCCATGCCCGGCTCGAGCAGGAACACCTTAGGGTAGACCAAGGATGAAGAAGAACAATGATTAGGGATTATAGGGTTGTATTGTAACACAGATCAGCGTATGGAAATAAATAAGGTCGATCCGCTGCATTTTTTGAGCATGGATCGCAAATAGTGCAGAACCGTGTTGTTGGTGCTGTCGGTTGGCCCGTGTGCCCCAAGGTAGTTCGCGGTAATCCCATCGTGGTAAGTGTGTGAGCAGGTCAAACAGGCGCTGGAGAAAAAACTAATACGGTTCGGATTCCTGTACCTGATAATACTTTTGGGGAATCCGTGGTGTTTCTGGACATGGGCTAAAGAGAATTGCGCAGCCTTCTGAGCTGTGACAGAGCAAGAGAGAGGGAAGGAGTGGACATATTCGTTAAGGCTGTCGACAAAGGCGTATTTGATAGCCTGACACTTGCACTTCAGCAGTCCAACAGCAAAGCACAGAGCTGGATCACTTTGATTACCTTAAGGAGTCGGAAGGCTTTGCGAGAGCTAGGGATCAGAAGAAATATGTGGCATCAGCTGCTGACAGGATGGGCATGTATTTCATAGTCCTCTGCCGCGGAACGCATCCCATGCCACCGGAAGGGCCGTGAAAGCACTCCGCTGTAAAGTGAGTCGCACTAGTATGTATACTAGGCCATGCTACCCTTCAGCACTTTCTGCTGCGTCAACCATGCTTCTTCAAATCTGTGAAGAATTCACTGACTACCTCGACAGTTCGTACCTGCGCTTTGATGCACAGAAGAGTTTGCTCTGTATCAAAAGAATGAGGCCTGTAAAGTTGCGGTGTACCATGTGCTGTGGGCACAGTTATACTGCGGAGCGAAGTTGACATGTACGAACGATGCCTGCCCTCTTTTGAGCCACAACAGGTCATCCTTAGGGCGGTAAAGGAGGCTTTATTCTATTGCCAATTAGGAGTTGAGCAATAGCTACAGCTGCATGGGCGCCAAAATCAGAAGACGCACGAAATATGAAAAAAAGGTAGTGAATCGTCGCAGGTAAGAGCGAATGCACAAAAATGAGGGGCGGAGACATCGCCAGAGCGTCTCCGCGGCGACTTTGATGCCTTCAATAGGCTGTTGTATCGCGTTATAGTCCAGGAGGTGCCCAAGCCAAGATACATGTCAGGATTATTAAGGCTCTATACAGTCTTCTGCACGAATATTAAAGCTTGCTGATCTGCATGAAAAGTAAAATGATGCCCATATAAATGGCGCCAGCAATTGCATTCCTCACCATACCGCATGGAGTCCTTTTCCCAAAGTGGATGCCGCTGCTCGGTTTCAGTGATGCGGTAATAACAGCAAGCGATGATTCAGTACTTGGAAAATTCGTCGGCTGTTGAAAAAGACCGACACCCGCAGCTCCGTCACCAGCACCGGTTGTATTAAGGAAATGGAGCGCACAAGCTGGCTGTGCGGGTATCGGAGAAGCTGAAATGAGCCTCATGAGCTTTCATTTTCCGGCATCAGCAGAACCCGTTCAGCTCATCGACGACGTTTTCTCCAATAGTTCAGTCAGACGAGCTGCTATCCGAGCAAACCGAGGAGCAAAATCTTGGCAATGAGATGAAACTGGATAGAACGGAGCAGCCTCTTCGTTCCTGTGTACAGGAAAGACTGCACCTCTTTAGTGCTTCAAATTTTTGCCGGGTCTGGCTCGATCCCTATAGCCAAGACACGGGAGCCCGGAAACACAAATGGTCGCATAAAAGATAAGCACTTGAGTGCCTTTACATTTTAAAGCTGGATTCACAACAGCAGAAGCGCACGCTGTTGATGCTCTACGTGATTATGAAGGTTTGGGCTCAATGCTAACAACGCGCATGTAGAAAGCCGTCCACCACTTTTCGATAAGCGCATTGGCACCCCGAATAAGCTAGCCTTGCAGTTCAGCAGGGCATCTAAAATTTGAAAGTGCATACGGGTTTGCAAGAGCGAACGCGTAGTTTTGTGTCTTGCCTCAGTGGAAATGGGGATTTGTGGGAATGCGCATGTGAAACCAGCTGTCAAGTAGACTGCTGTCACATTGTACGCCTTAGTAAGCATTTGAAATCGACCTAATGGCCCCCACATCTTTTCCCAAAGCGTCGTTTTATCTCCTCACCGTATGGAACAGTGGTTCTGCTTCCTGACGGAGGACAATTACGCCGCAGATAGTCGCATGTACTTCTCACTTTGGACTCTTCCATATGTAGCAATCTAATTACGAAATGCGTTCTACGTATCCGCGACTTCAATTGATAGGCTAATCCTACAGAGGATTGGGTATATCTGTACCCCTCATGCATACCACCTATAGCAATTGTAACCCTGCGCATAGGCTAGCTCAAAATAATGGTCTCAAAGCAATTCAGTCTATTATGCTCTACATTATCCTCGAATTTGAGTGGCAGTAATAAGATACTAGCTGTACGCTGAACCCCTTCACCTACGCTTGCATTAGTGTTGGTCCAGTAGAGACTTTTGCTGGTAGATTCCCAAAAAACGCATTTCTGTGCAATTAATATAAACCCTTATTGGTAATGAAATTGAAGGCAGAATTATACTTTTTATGGAGTGGAAAGTACTAGATAAAGTCCTTTCCTGGGGGTACTATTGACACATCGCTCAACGCACGGATAAATATCACCCTGCCGTTGAGCTAGTGCCACCAACTTTGCTTCTTCTCACTTCCCATTCCCTAGTGCGACTCGATGTATATGTAACAGCTATTGATCATTTGAGTCTTTCCTAAGTAACTAATGAGTCTCTCCAACGGAATCTGATTGTCACGAGCCTATGGGCTAAAGACTCCGTTTGTCTAAGGCCACTTGTCTTCTTTCCCATATGCGGGAAAGCTACGCACCAAACTGTCCCTAACGGCAAAAACATTTCGTGGCGTTGCCTGTTAGTGTCTTTCTCCCCTCGTGAATGCTAGCCTGCACACTCAGGGGCCCTCTTGCCTCTCCTGGAGACAGATGACTGGAGGGTCCATACTAGACTGTTTCTGCCTCTCGGTCTGCCTCAATAGCCTGTTTCTATCATCATCGTTTTTTTATCTCGCAGCTCTTGCATATTCTCCCCGCTAACTTCCCTTTCAGAGCCCTTTTTCTGCTCCCAGTCCCACGACCTTACCCGCGCCTTCCAGCACCGTGACCAGCCTCGACCCCTGACATCCCGCGGGAAAATGTCACTTTTCTCAGAAGTCCCCCTAGCAGCTCCGGACCCCATCCTTGGCACAGCCGTGGCTTTCAAGGCAGACACCAACCCCAAGAAAATTAACCTGGGAATCGGGGCCTACCGCACCGATGACGGAAGGCCCTACGTCTTTCAGTGAGGGGCTTGACTGCAGGACACTTAAAGACGGAAGAGCGGACTGATGACAATGGGGCGTCTTATAATATAGCGAACCAATAACACACGCACACTTAATTGCCAGTAAATACAGACGGAGGTTTAATGGCGAAGGCTTGCTTCTCGGGGTATTGCTGTTGAGATTTGCAGAGCAGTGCGGACCGCTGAGGCGGGCATACTGCAGGAGGTGCTGGACAAGGAGTACCTGCCCATTGATGGTCTGCCAGAGCTGAAGCAGGTGGGTTAAGAAACATTCCATAAAGTGAAAATGTCCTACGTGCTTTCCTGTCACGTTCCTAATCCTAAGCACATCGGCTAAAACAAGGACTCATTGGGTATCGCTGCTAAAGAATTGCTGGACCTCGTAGTTTGCATACATGTCGCAGTCGGTATCGTTGCCGTTGTATTGCCCCCTCAGTTAACACAAAATGTGTTGTTTGGCACCAACTGCCCTGCCATCAAGGAAGGGCGCATCGCCTCTTCCCAGTCTCTTTCGGGAACAGGCGCTTTGCGGCTAGTGGGAGACTTCATCAAGCATTTTTTGCCAGCCTGTCAGGTCAGACAACCCCTCTAGCTAATTTCGAAATGCTGAGGTGTGGCGTATGGGATTTGTAGCTCAGTATTGAATTTTTTCAGGACTACTGCGTTGGCTGCAGTTTGTTTACATGAGCACACCTACGTGGTCCAACCATCACAACGTCTTTGGCCCGGGCGCAGGCCTTACCATCCGCGAATACCCTTACTGGAATAGCGTGAGGACTGTGGACACCAGGGAACTTTTTAAGGGTGCCATAAGGGACTTGCATCGTCCTCAATACATTCAACGGAGTGGGGAGCTAAAAGCCAAGAGGCACTGCATTTTCCTTCGAGATACACGGCATTGTCTCCAGGTCTTGCGGCTCAACGCAGGCAACCAGGAATGTGGACTTTGAGAGGATGATGAAAACCCTGGAGGAGGCCCCACTCAATTCAGCAGTTGTGCTGCACGCTTGCGCACATAACCCAACAGGTATGCCCTATCTGCACGGACACTCCGAATGATGATTTGTGCAGCAAGATGCGGGCTTCTTGGACTTTATCCAATGATGCAAATGGGCTCACGGAGTTCACTGCTACTGGTGCTATTGCAGTAGTTCCCTTTGCAGCAGCAGTGAAAACTGCAAAATCAGCGGTAGAGCAGCTTCCTCGCGCTGCGTACACCATTTAATTCCAAAGCTGCGCACTTCTGTTCTTCTGTATCTATGCACACTGTGTAATTACTGCACCGTATGTGTGATACTTGTGTCTGTTTTCGCGTGCGCTGTTTAGGCGTAGACCTAAGTGTCTCTCAGTGGGAGTCAATCTTGTCTGTTTGTGAGTCTCGGCAGCTGCTGCCCGTACTGGACTCGGCCTACCAGGGGTTCGCGTCTGGGGATCTCTCGCGGGATGCGTTTTCAGTGCGCTTGTTTGCCACGAAATTCCAAGGAGTCTTGTTCGTCACACAGTCTTTTGCTAAGAACCTCGGATTGTACGGAGAGAGAGTGGGTATGCTACATGCGATCTGCGGCAGTCCCAAAGAGGCAGAAGCAGTATTGTCTCAGATTAAGATTGTGGCCAGGCGGTGCTACAGCAGTCCTCCCCTTCAGGGAGCCCGTATTGTAGCACGGGTGCTGGGGGACGAGCAGCTAAGGAGACAGTGGGAAGAGGAACTAAAACTTGTGGCAGAGAGAATTAAAGACATGAGGAGGCTTCTAAGGAAGGGACTGGAGCAGAAGGGAACTCCAGGGCAGTGGAATCATATCACGGACCAAATCGGAATGTTTTCATACACCGGCTTGACCAGTAGGCATAACAACGCAGGGGATGGGGGGGGGCAGCAACAGTGGGCACCGGCAGGCAAAAGGAGGGGAAGGAAGAATAAAAGCAGCATACAGACGCAGCGCAAGTACAGAGCTTGGCAGACACGCACTCACAGACACGAGAGCAACGAGAATAGTGGAGCACGATGGGAAAATGCTGGCAGATCCGCACTGAACGAGAAAATACGAGACAGGGATTAAGAATGATTCAGCATCGATTGCTTTTGATCTCCGTAACAGTGTTTTCTCTCGAGTCCTCGTGCGTGTAATTGTTTACTGCATCTTCTGGCTTCACATATTGTTTTGTGCTGCGTTTGTTTGGCCTCAGAAGAGCAGTGCGAACTGCTCATTAGCAAGTGGCACATCTACCTCCTGAAAAACGGTCGTATCAGCATGGTGAGAGGCAGCCGCTACGGAACAGTCTGGGGGAAATTGATCAGGGTTTATATTGCGAGATTTCCATGCATGCTTTGCCGCATTCAGTTGGCCACATCACTGTTGTCAAACATATCGCGTATGATTCCCATGGGTGTTGCAATAAAACAATCTTAAGGATTCTTGATTTGGGGGAATTTTTTGTGATGTCTGAACAGGCTGGTGTAAACAGCAGCAACATCGACTACCTTGTGAACGCTATGGATGACGTCATCAGGACGATCCCCTCAGTTTAATGGTCCATTTGTTTCCTTCCCATGCTGATCCACCCCCTAGCTTTTCTATTGGCTGCCGAAACACCGCCGCATGAATGTAGGGGAGTGCCTCCGTTAGCAGGGTGTGTTTCATAGGTGTGAATGCTTTTGTATTATGACTAACGAGCTATTGTACACGTCTGCATTGTTCTATTAAACCACCCATATTTAAATAAGAATTAGTACAGAGTTGACTAATTGGCTTGCCTATTCACATATTGTATTTATGACGAAATATACGAACCATTGTTAGGTCTATCCAAGAAGACACAGTTTTGTGTGGGTGTGCACTAGCAGCAAATGCACAACTAGTTTTAAATGCTCGGAGTTCTCAGAGGGCGCAGCTGTGCACACCCTCTCTGTCTTTCTTCTCTCATATCGGAATCGTGAGAGGTATTGGCTGGAAAAAGAGGTGGCTGCTTTGGAGGAATACTCAGCACCTCTTGACTGAGTTTGATCGATTCTGGAGTTTAATGCCTCCCTATGGAACTTTACCCCAACTACCGCTGCAGGCTTGGGAGGTTGGTGGTGCAGCGCTTTTTGGGATACTGGCATTTCAGAAAAACGTTTCGTTTTCAGGCCACCGAGCTTACTACACAATACATAGTTGGGCTGGTCAAATGTAGAGCTACGCAGCCGTCTCCTTCTCTCTCATCTTGCAACTGCAATTGCACATAGTTCTCCATAGGCAGCTTCCATCCCTTCGTGTGTATGTGTACATACAGAACTAATTCAAATGTACACGTTCTCAGTTTACTTCCTCCTCTTCTGATCCTTTATAGAATCATCACGTGCCTAGCCCCCATATCCGCCTCTTCGCGTAGCTCAGCTACACGGGATTACTGCAGGACGGAAAGCACGTTTTAAGGGAGGGTTGATTCTCACTTCAGAGAAAAAATTTCCCATCTATTTCATAGGGTGAGCATGCTGACTTAGAGGAGAAGCTGGCTGAGAGCAGTAGTAGGCGTTTGTGAGAAAGGCGCTACAGATGAGACCAACAGGAAAGGGGGAGCCACAGCTTTGGGCAATGGTTCTGTAAAGCATGCCCTAGCGTGTGTCCTGTGCCTTGGCAGAATAAAAGGCGCTGGGGGAGCGGGAGGCCGGTTGTGTGACTTTTTTGGGCATTGGTTTATTTAGTGCGAACGCTCTGCAGATACGCATATGGCTGGGATGCGGGTGAATGTGGTGTGGGACCCACAGGTTATCATCCAGAAAGCCGTGGTGGAGGATTCACCATAAAGCTGAGGCCCCTGATATATTTTCCAATGAAAATGGCAGCTATTTGGAACAGCTAACGGCAGCCGCAACGGCAAAAACAAACTGCATTCGATACAACATAAGAAGTGTGGACGTGTCTCTCCACATTGATTCAGCGCGTCCTCAGTATTTTGTTTTTTGAAACACCGAATTTTCTATCGCTTCAATATGAGTTTCCAACTCTGGCTAAAGTTCTTCTAGAACGCTTGTATTTGCCCGTCGGGCGGATTGTGTGCCGCTCTCCTCAGTGAGGAGCAGCCCAAGGTCCTCCTGTAGTTGACGACCGTCAAGTTTGCTGTGTTGTGCATTACGTCCCAGCCAAAACAGCATATCAGACTCGCTTCTATCTCCTTCATACATCAGCGGTTGATTCTTTGACCCAGCTCGAAAGAGCAGTAGAGTCGGGTACCCTGCGCACAGTACTCCCAGCAAACAAGAATCAAGGAGATACAAGGGTAGATCTATAAAGAACTGAAAGCACGCGGCACATGAATTGAAGCAAACGGCCGCAAAAGACTTAGAGGGAGGTTTATGTTTCTCTGTCTTCATGGAGTGTATCATGGCTTGGAATTTACATGACAGGTATGCTGTGAAGGTCACGACCAAAAAAGCCTCATCATCCAACATCAGCAACGCCTTAAGTATGCGAAGGACCAGTAAGGGCACCATCTAGCTTACCAGATAGATTAATTCCGTCAATTTCATTGAGGGTAGCGTCAATGCGACCAAGGACGAGCGAGGATCGTTTACTTACAATCTTCGCCACCCGCTTAAAGGCCGGCTCCAACTTCCGGCAGTGGCCGCACCTGCACATTCCTACAACAGATCCTGTGTACTGAAATCAGGTCAAAGGGTGTTGAACATATGAGTGCGAATGCGGAGTTTAAATTCGGGAAAGCTTCAGAAGCTACAGTTCATGGTTTCAGGTTCATCGCACCAAGGAGCCCCAAAGGAGACGAAGACATCGTGTGGGGAATCCAAAACTTCCTTTTGAAAATTGAGGCCAACGAAGGTCTTTACAGGGCCTGCACAGTCCCCGCCGAAACCTGTAGCTGCCTCTAGTCAGCCATGTAGGAGCACTTGGAGGGTCACGATGACTTTTTCTCAGTGGCACTTAAGTGGGGAGGCTCCCCGGCATGATGCATGTTGGGTGTGTTTTGTTACCGCTGTTTTGAGAGACCGGAGGAATTGGCTCGCTATTCGTGTACGGCTCCAAATCGCCCTCAATAAACGCCCAAACAAAGTTTCGTATATACTGAGGAAACAAGTAGCACAAAACTACACAGAGGAAGCTATGGTAAGTTAGGGGCACACGGAAAAAGACGAATTCAGATATGCAGGCAACTGACGACGGCACACAAGTGCGCAGAGGCAGAGGCAAAGGTGCGTGCTCAGATGTGCCATAGACCAGGAGATATGCAGACGGATAACAGCAACAGCCCATATGCCGACTGATTGTCATCTTTTGCGCCCTGTAGCGCGAATCAGCAGTTCCCACCTCTTCGGCTGCACCTTGATCCTGCCTCTGCTGTGCATCAAAGACCGTTTCATGACGAAGCCCGTGAGGGGTTTCAGGGGGCCCCTCGCCACTCTTTTTTGATGAGCGTAAGGAGTTGCGTGCTTTGGCAGAGGTACTGAGGGCGTTGACTATGAGGCTATGCGTGGGGGATGTATTTCTGAACGAGTACGCGGGCCTGTTCGCCTTGTCAGTAGTGCTACTGCTGTTGTCCTTTTCAACGCTGATGTTTGTGCTTTGTGAGCGGCTGTTCAGTGGCGTGGATGGCTTGTATTTTTCTGCTGGATAGTATTTGCCGTTACCGCTGGGGTTAAAGGTGGCGATTCGGAATTCCGGGCTAGTTATGGTGTCATCAACACCTAAGAGACTAAAGATACGCCTTTCATGGGCTTCCTTATTGCCTGTGCAGAGAATGAGAGAAGAATGAGAAAGTGAGGTTACAGCAGCTGGGAGGGACTCGACACGAAGCCCGAAGGTCTAGTCTAATTACTGTCTTGCTCGCTGTTTGTCTCGTGGACTGCATATTCCTAGCTTGCTAAAACCTTCGATCTACTTGTATTTGAGCTTCGGAGCTCTGCCAAGCTGGGGTTGTCCAGTGTCTCCAGGACCTCTCCTCTGTCAATATACCACCCAACCCTTTTGTGTCCTTCAGAATCCACTATTTGCCTGCCAGCTCCCGCGTCGGTATTTTACTGTTTCTACATGTGTATACTTTGGATGGTGATTCCCTATTGCTGCCCCATTCAAAAGTGAAGCCTTCGTACACGACTGTCAACCTGCCTGATATTGTAAAGATGAGATTTTGCCTGAATTCCCCAGCAACTTGATGGAAAGCCGCAACCACCGGATCCACAAGTCCCTCCCTTGTCAGAGACCGAGCAGCTCTGTCCCCATCCAAAAGCAATATACAAATCGAACGACCATCTGTAGTACAGGAATACACAAATAGGTGAGAGAACAGATAATGATTAGGAGGTAATGCTACAAACACAAAGGGATATTAGGAAAAGCCAAGCCACAGAAAAATAGGAGAATGCAACCAGCTAAAGCCACGAGCATTGGAGGAGGCAGATAGAGATACCTAGGTACAGACCATACAGCCAGAGAAGAAGCGAGAGAGCTTGGCTGACCCTCGAAGATGTCCTCAATAGTATCCGGCTCGAAGGCAAGAACTTGTGGGAATCTGTATTTATGAACAAACCCCTCCAGCGCTTTCCTGTCATCTCCTTGCCCTAAATATTTTACAAATGGCGGATCTGAGGGGTCCAATGGGGCAGTCACCACGAACGGCGGCTGCCACTGAGGAGACAAGCAGGCAGCCAACAAGACAACACTCCCGCGGGGGGATGAACTTCGAGAGAGGTCGAAGGGGAGGAGAGGGACGCGAAAAGGTGTAGATCCATGATTTGCATACTGAGACATATACATATACGAATTTTATATCTGGACTAAGATACAGACACATGTGAACACCGCTCAGGCTCCACGTAGTGGCTCCCTCTTGCCTAACCTCAGCATGCTGAGCTTCATGTCTCTATTCATGCCATAACGTAAGGAGGAACGCAGCTTCAAACACCAGAATAAGTAGGGTTTGCCTCTCCTCTCCGCTCCACAGCCCCAACAACCCGATTGAACACTTTAAATTGGGGTCATTGCATGTTGATTGCTTAACTTAGCGGCCAAACTCGATCCCATCCTCATTCCCCTTCCCACCTAAGGTGGCACAGAGAACTTCATTTACGCTCACCATCTCTGCAGATGTCTTAGATTTTGGCAATATGTATTGATGCAGGAAGTACTGGAAGATAACAGGTTCGTGGATTTCCCCAAAAAGGACATCATCAGAGAAAGTGCGCGCCACGTGGCGAAATGTCTCATGGTCAAACAGTGACGAGTCCCCTAAAATAAGCAAGCACGCGTAAGACGGGGTCAGATATATACTCGTGCATGGAAGTCCCTTGGGCTTTAAATTCAAAAATGATGCAAAACAACGCTAAGGATTTTATGAGTTTTTGCATACGCTTCCCAGAGACGCTCCTCTAGTCGACAAACCAGTTTTTCTTTCAACCGCCACTCTTAAAGCCAAACATTGGGCACGCTATAAAACTGCCAGATACCTGGAAACAGGTAAGACTACTCAGATGTATACTAAGGGTCTCCATTTAGGTGTCGAAGCTTTGTTACGGTCCGATGCCCTGCTTTCGCAAAGGCTCGAAGAATCTACACTTTAAGAAGAGTTGAAAGGCGGCGTATTCCCCTATCTGGATTCTTACCGCTACCGTTGCCACCCGTATTGGAAGAAGTGGTTACAGCAACCACCAACTGGTGGCCATCCGCTCCGTTGCGCATAAATTCTTCGAAATGGGGTAGAGTGTCCAGTCGTTCGTCCCTTTGTAGATTGTGGTTCAGCCACGCAAAAATCTGAGTCCTCCGGCGTCCGCCTAAGAAGAAACACAGTAAATGTTGGCACGAATGCTTTGCATAAAGCCGGAAATTGGCAGAATACAAGCTTTAGTAGCTCATAAGGATTTCTACGAAGACAATTTAGAATGCTGAGAAAAACCAGCCGAAAACCAGCCTTGGCTTGAGGGGACACCGTGAATACGCAAAGATGCGCTTATAGCTTTTCCATGTATCTGTATTGCCCTTTCGTGCAGCATGTCTTGTGCATATGCCAACTCTTGCCTTACAGCGCGCCCTCTGTCACGCTCGCCCTCCCATTTTACCGTTTTCCCCCTTCCCCTTTTAGCGTCTAGTGGCTCATCGGACCAACATATTGCTTGGGTTTGCCGTCTATGTAGAGTTTGATAATTGGATATTCAATAATATGCTCCTTTTTCTGCGTCAATGGGTTGTCGGCGCAGTCCACCTTTCCCAGCACAATCGGTCTAGAGGCCACCTTTGCCATGAAGCGTGCCACAGCGTCAAACTCGGGGAGGGCTGCTCTGGACCAGTGACACCAGGGCGCGTAGAATAATACCAACGCAAATGGTTCGGACTGAACAAACGAATCAAACGTTTCGTCAGTTAAAATCACTGCTCCTTCGGACATAGCAGAAACCATAGACGCCAAATGCGCGTTCGCCGATTGTGTATCCTCAACACCTGTAGGTGCCACCGTCCTAGTTGAGCCATGGGATACCCCTGCAAGTGCTCCTTCAGAGGGCTGAGCAGGATCCTGGCGATAGGCAGGGTGGTCCTGCAGAGAAAGCTGCTCCGGGGGATGCACGTGCGGCGAAGTTACTGGAGGAGACTGCTTTGGGGGTTGGGGGGACTCATACCGCATCTGTTGCTGAGAGGGCTGCTGCTGATTTTGCACCTGATTTTGTTGCTGCATTTGCTGTTGCAACTGTGGCTGTTGTATTTGCGACTGTTGCTGTAGTTGCTGTTCTGGCTGCTGCCGCCGCAGCTGGTGGTGGTGTGATTGGTGTTGTTCTGTGATTTCCTGTTCTGGGGGTTTTTCATTCTGTTGGGCATTTGTATATAAGGTTTGGCCATCCACTTGCTGGGTATTTGTCTGTGGTTGTGCCCGTGGGCTGGGTGACGGTCGGATATTGCCTCGAGACGATGGAGAGGGATGGAGGCCGCTGGACGGCAGCACTACTGCAGGCCCTGTTGTGGGGCCTTCAGGGGGTGTTGACTGCATATTTTGAGACTCATTTGGCTGTGAAGGCTCGGAACGGTTTCCTGACTGAGCCCGGAGGGCCCCCCTACCACCCATGCTCTCTGGGGCAAGGGGCGCCCAGACCTCTGCAGGCTCATGTGCAGCTCTAGCCCTTAAATTGGCCGTCGGAGAAGGTTTCAGGGAAGTAGAGGCAGAGCTGTTTGTAGGTGTCACTGTGCTGAGTCTCTGGTTTACCTCTTCTCCCCCTCGCAATTGACCGAAAACTGCAGGGGATAAGGCAAGCAAGAATAGAATGAAGAAGCGAAGTGGCCATTGATGGCCTGCAAGAAAACGGTGCACCACATCACTCATCATTTGCCCCTGATTTACTGCTGTGTGGTTTAGCTTTTTGATGAACACGCTAGGTGCTCTTGCTGCAGGGGATATGCAACTGGGGCTGCTGCTGTGATCACAGCTGCTACAAGGAAATCCTAAAGCAAGCTAGTGGCTGAGTGATTTTTAGAGAATCGGAAGAAGTCGATTGCATTCCTCATTCCCTGTCAATTGATACCTAGGGCCGCGATGGCTGTCCACCTCATAGTTGGCGTGGTGAGTCCGTGTTCTGCCAGCCTGTCATTGCCTTTTTGGGTGAGAGTTAAATCCCTTCAACACGAAAATGTATACTTAAAATGCTGGCAGAAGCGCATCGTAGAAAAAGGAAGAAAGAAAGAGGAAGCAGCAAAGTTGAAGCGCGATTCCCTTATGTGGGGCGCTGTTGGCCTTGCCTGTGCAGGTAGTCTGTTCTAAATGTGCGATCTACTATACTTCTTTTGGCCTCAGAATAGACCCGAAATTCACCTGTTTCATTGGTCTAAACAGGATAAACTTTATCAAAAATAGCCTGGGAAATAAAAAGACCGCTCAAGTCTTGTGTCACCACCATGTGTCTCCCCTGTGCGTTTGCACGTATACATGCGGCCTTTCTAAGGTTATTCCACCAATATCTGTGCGCATACTACTCAAATCATAAATTTAATTTGATTTGTAAATGGATTTCTTGCTTTCACCAAGTGACACTTTGCTTTCCCATCTAATGTGGGCACCCTCTACACGTCCAAGTGACCCTATGCTTCTTGGCGCACACGACACTCCCTGCATCCACTTCCTGGACTCCATGCCATCATACTTGCGTACATAAGCCTAATTTTTGCCCTAGGGATTTCATAGCTCATCATGGGTGCTAATCCCAGGCAGGCAATGATATGTTTGGCTCGATCGTGTTTAGGTTGCAGCGTCCAACCACGTGCAGAGGTACAAACTAGAATTGAGTGCTATGGAATTACAAAAAAAGTGTCAAGAGAATTCAAAATTATCACGACGATCTGATCAAAGCCAAAACAACTGGGGTGCTTTCTGCACTGCCTTTCCGTGTTGATGCAATTGTTTTAATAAAACGCTCCTCCTGAGATCGCGCTAAGGAGACCTTCGCCTAAACCACAAATAACATATCGAAGCAAAACCTTGTTATTGCTGTCCAAAGAGGTCGCTCCCTGCTGGCTCTCAGGAGATCAAAGTGCGACAGCCAGCACCCGTCGAGCGGTGTGGGCACTCACACACAGTTTTCAGTTTATGTTACAGCAGAGTCACTCAGCGTGTATTACTACGCTACGAGATAGATTACGCTCCGTATCGAGTGTAGCGAAAGACCTTCCAGGCAACACGTTCATGACTTAAACACGTCAATTTTAAAACACAGCTCAACTGGTCACTTTTTGAGTGTCTTGGCCCAGCGCATTTATCACTACAGAGAGCCTCTGCAGCATGTGCTGTGTATGGCCTCAGCCGGTCGTCATTCGCTCTTTTAGGCAATAAGGGGAGGGCCCTGGAAGAGGGCAATTTTGTTGATGTATTGCTTAGCATAGCTTGTCTTGGAGTGCTACTCAAGCAGTGTATACTTATCCTTATAAAACTCCATAATGGCATCCAAACCCTAGTGAGGTCTCAAATCTGAAACACCCGACTTTTTCCGTGTTCCAAAATTTCGATCTCGCTTGACCCTCTAAGGAAATTTCTGCATTCAAGGCCTCCAGGCTGCAATCGAGAGACGGGCAATCGTTATGTAGTAATCTACGCAGTCCATGATTGCCCAAGCAGATCAAAAAATATTTGACTTTAAGACAGCCCCTCTTTGCTGTCGCTTCCTTCACGGGTAGCTTTAGAACGATCCGCATGTCTACCAGTGGCGCAGTGTGCTGTCGCTCGGTCTCTTTGGTACGCTAAGATGGCTTTCATGATAGCATTTAAGAATAAGGCGTACGCTGAGGGCATCCAGGTTGAGTCTTTTCGGTGCAGCGGTAGGAGTCTTTCGATGTGGGAAACCTGGGGAAAGGGCGTCCGCTGTGTAATTCCAGTGAAACAAGAGAGTGCTCGCTTCCAGGAGGCAGAGGGATCAATAATCTAGGCATCCATGGTGCTTCAAGTCGTGGTCTAATGCATTTGTGCTGTGAAAGACAAACAGAAATGCCACACTACATACCACTAAAGCACCAGATAGTTCTAGCTTCCGTAGGAGTCACAATCCATACGCTCAGATGTCTCTGCAAAACACATAGCCCAACAGTCCTTCAAAGCATCAAGTAGCCTTCATACATCTGATAATACGGCTACTGTAATGTACAGGAGATGTTGAGAGCTCTACATAAGCTATGTTATCTGGTCAGAGAAATTTAAAGTGATATGTAGTGTCAAAAATTAGATAATTGCTGTTGAAGTTGGCCAAAAGATCGACTTCAAGGAAACGTGTCCTATAAAAGCTCCTCCATTTAAAAATAAAACGGACTGTTTATTCTGGCTATCAGAGCTAATACTTTGCCCGATATGCTGACAGAAAGCTACTTTCTCAAAGAATTAATCTCTCTGTTATTCTAGTCTAGCCTTCAATCCAAAATATGTCGGAGATGCGGTTTAGAAATTGATGTCCCGCCACACCATTAAACGTTTCATTGAGGAAAGAGTGCCTCTCTGAGAAGCTCTGTGAAGGGATCCTATGGCATTTTCTCCATGGGTCCGGACATTGTAGGCAAATAAGGGGCACCAGTACAAAGACTGTCCATGTTCCCTAGAGCGTCTAAATACTCTTTCTAAAGTGCTGCAAAGTGGATGTGAGGACTAGGACCCTAGCCAGCTGCTGAGCAGCCTTTCGTGGGCCCAGAAGCCGAACAGCCTACGCCACCTGTTTTAAAATTGTCTCGCAAATAATCGAAAAGGCACAGAAGTCTCGATCAGTTGGCTGTGGGAATCTATGCCAGTTGAAAAGCTGCAGTATCAGAATGAATCTGTTACTGTTGCGCCCTCTTACACCCGAATATACGCGGGGCATGCTTATTCAATCAGCTGGGACCACCACAACAAAGCGTAGACTAACTAAGTAGTAAGCACTCAATATCTGCTACTCTCATATGCACAATGAAGCAGGCACGGTAATAAGCAAGAAGGGAAGGTGAGTGTCTTGTTTCCGGGAAAGTCCAAGGAAAGAGCGTGGAAAGTCCCCCTAGATCGTAGTGACCTATATGGAGCACCTATGCGTTGGTAGTGGATGACTACGTTACACAATCCGGCTGCACTAAGAGAAGTGATACTTTTGAGGACAGGACTGGAATAGGCGGGACACTGTGCCCACTTTACATACAGAATCTGAAATTTGTTCCGTCCACACGCTAACTGGTGAGCACAGCACTGAAGGGCGTACGAAGGGCTAAGACACAGAAAAAAAAGGAAGAACACCTTCGGACCAGAGTACAGACAAATTCAAACCTGTAGATAGGTAACTAAATAGAGTCAACGAGGCACTCGTTTGAATAAGGGTGGGAGAAGGCGAGGGATGCAGCAAGAGAAAGCCCAAGAAGCTAGAGGGTAGTGGGGAGTAAGCACACATTGAAGGGAAAATATTCATTATACAATTAGCCAAAGCGATTGGTTGGTGGGAGCCATCGCGGCCGCTCTTTTCTAGGATTCTCCAGTGAGGTCCGCTGCTTATAAAACCCATGGCTAAGCTTTTGCTTTGAAATTGGAAGAAAAGGATCATGCGAACGGCGAATCAGAAAATTTCATGAGTGCGTGCATACAGCTGGCCTTATCAGTATACTCTAAGCATAAATTTACTAAAGGCCACAAGGCAAGAGATAACTGCTCAATGTATAAAAGACCGCTGCTGCTTATGCGCCTACAGTCCGCTGAGGTCAGCACGAATACGAATAGCACTTTGGGGGCACTAATATGATGCCCAATGGCGAATCATTTTCAACCAATAGTTTAGGTTTTGAAGTGTTGCCAGGTACTTACAAGTTACCCAATGAAGTTTGTAATAAATTTACTCAGCACGGTCATCGAGTACATGGGCATTATGACACCAGTGGTCTTGGCTCCTCCTTGTGTCTCTCCTGTGGTTTGACGCCCATGTTTCCTAGATCTTCTCAAGTTAATCAGCGTCTTTGGCTTTACAGGCCTTGTTTTCGTATACTGTTGGCAACACGACATCCCTCAGCCTGGAGATCCTTTATGTGGCTATCTTCAGTCCCTGTAATAGTTGTGCAGATATCTGTCCTTGTAATTACCACTTCATACGCTCAAAGTTCATGTGATTTTTCCCCCTCTAAATGTTGTGGCCACCGCTCGAGTAATCACAGTGTAGACAAAGTGGCGACATTGGGTACCCTGGAGTTTATGGTAATTACCTAGAGAGTCACAAGGAGATAGAGGCAGATATCTTAACCCAGAAGCATCTACCTACACACGTTTGACTATAGAACAGCAAATATGGTTTAACGAGCTTGGATTCTGCTGGGTAAACTGTTAACAGTGTCCTTGCATAAGAGCAGAGAGAAATTTCATGTATACATACAGGCATCTGCTTGCTTCTCTTCACATTCTTAAGCTCCAGTAGAGTATCTGCACATTGTTGGGCTATTTAATACATAGAAGAATAGCGAGGAAAAAAGGAGGCTCCAACCACCCGAGGCAGCGCAGCAAGTTACAGCTCACAGAGAGATGCTAAGAAATGTACAATGCGACAAAAAAAGCACAAGTTCCTTTGTATTTTGCAGCTACGGATCCATAAGTCTCCGAATTTCCCTGAATCCGTACTCAAATAAGTAAATTTCAAAGTAGCAATAAAAAAGTGCCTTCCTTGGCGCTGGCTTGTGGTCGTATGTGCTGTTAAACAGATATTCCCTTTTTGAACATTTTTTTTGTTGGATAGACAATTCCTTTGTCTTGAGCGTTAGTCCTGTAACGCTGCCTCGAAGGCCTCCTTAGAGGGGCACTTGATCAGACCTATTACAGAGAAGCATAAAAGTTTTTGAGTGAGCTCGCGA